GACTTCAAAAATTCACAGCAAGTAAACTAGAGTGGTCCAAAAAAATTCACCCCCCTCAGCATTGACACACATGTGGAACGGAGCTTTGGGCCAAGAGCCAACTTTTGGACCATCCTGTAAAGACGTTTTCGATAGGTCTGCCAATGCTATATGTTAGCATTCGCTACCACTTTTGAGCCGAAACCCGCCCCCACTGGTTCGTATGGTACTAACATGTCACTAATATATTTTGGTACGAGGCCATGGAGAGATTTGTACACAAGCAGAGCTGTTTTAAAGTCTATTCTCTGAGCCACAGGAAGCCAGTGCAGAGACCTGAGAACTGGACTAATGTGGTCGTACTTCCTGGTTCTAGTCAGGACTAATATGGCCATACTTCCTGGTTCTAGTCAGGACTCGAGCTGCTGCATTTTGAATGTACTGCAGCTGTTTTACAGCCTGTTTGGACAGACCTGTGAGCAGGCCATTGCAGTAGTCTAAACTACTGGAGACAAATGCATGGATAAGAATCTCCAAGTCTGCTTTAGACACTATGTTTTTGATCCTGGCAATGCTTTTTAGGTGGTAAAAAGCTGCCGATGTTACTGATTTGATGTGGCTATTAAAATTTAAGTCTGAGTCCAGTATTACCCCGAGATTTCTGACCTGATTTGACTGTAGGTGACAGATGACGCTCTCTCTTTGTTTCTGGGGACCAAAGACAATCATTTCAGTTTTGTCTGCGTTTAGCTGAAGGAAGTTACTTCACTGATCTGAGTAATATGAACCTGACTCAGGATGCATATCTGGCAACCTGAGTCAGTGGGAGAGGTTGCAGTACCACTTTTGGCCGGATTTTTACATACTGCTCCTTTAATGCCGTTTCTCCACAGAAATGGTACAGTACGGCACAGCCCGGCACGGCACAGCACGGCGCGGTTATTTTGCATTTCCACTAGGGTTGGGCTTGGGCTTTGGCCCAAAGCTCTCACTGATATGTATTTACTTGTGTAAAAGTTTGATTTTCTTTTGTCCACAGTGAGCTAGCTATATTTAGCTATCGATAGCAAGCTAAGCTAAAACGTGTGCTGTATCTTGCTCTTTCACGTTTTTCTGTTTTGTGCTTGTACTTAAATTGTTTGTATATTTATTTGTTTGAGAATCCCTTCCCACGAGGGAGGAAATTACCAACGACCACTCGTCCCCTCACCTGGTCTCAAGAGACATGTACGTACTTTGGACTTTGTAAACTGCTGATTTTGCACTTTACTTTTGTTTTCAAAAAAATCTGTGATCGTATCAAAACGTTGTTTCATTCATTTGTCTGTTCACATGAAAGGGGTTTATATTTTCGACAATATACTTTTACTTCTATTTACATAACAAACATTATATTTGTCAGTAAATCTGTAACCGTGGTAAATTTATGAACAAGGATGGAGACATATTTGCAAAATACAAAAAGGTTTTATTTTTGGTCAAAACACAAAGGCAAAATAATTGTTTAGGCATATGATCTTTATCATATTACAATATTACATATGACTTTTTACTTCTTCTCACTCCTTTTTTGAGTTGATACTTAGTTATTTAAAATAAATGTATATTGTAAATCTAAGTTATGTATTAAACTCAAAATAAAAACATTTCATTTAATTTCAAATGACAAAAAGTGACGTATCAGATAGGAGCAATGTTACAATCTGAACTCTGAACAATTGTAAAGCGCTTTGGGTGAACTTGGTCTGTAAAATGCACAATATAAATAAACCTTACTTACTTACTAGTTACACGTTGCACATAAATCAAGTGGTCTGACAACCCCTCCCACGCTGATGAGATACTTGGAGGTATCATTTTTAATGGAAAAGCAGCCACTCGGCCGTACCGCGCCCTGCCGTGCCGCCCGTGCCGTACCGTTAGGCCTGTCACAATTACAAATTTTGCTGGACGATTAATTGTCTCAGAAATTATTGCGATAGGCGATAGTATTGTCGTTCTGAGATCATTTTCATCTAATACAATGATAATGATGCAATTACACCTTTTCAAAGAGAAATACACTTGTATTTTTAAAGACCACCGCCGGAAGTGGCGAAAGTAAAAAGCTGCTAGCTTGATGCTAACATAATGCAGCTCTGCAGCGTCTCTTTGTCCTGAGACCTTACAGAGACTTTATATAACAGCAGTATGTGTTCACGGAGGTGCGTCATACGTTTATTTTATTATTAAACGGTTCTTCTGCATCGGCGAACATGCTAACGCTAAATGCGGTAGTTAAGTCACTACTAGAGCCTGAATGAGAACAACTAAGTACTGTGTCCCCCGTTGTCAATCCTGGTTAAGTCCTGATTTAGGTCCTGTTTTGGCTGTATTTTGTATTTTTGAGTTATTTCAGTCTGCTCGCGTCACACGTGACCACTTTGCGGCTCTCTGACCAGAGAGGGAGAGGGAGAGAGAGACGGGAAAACAAACAAGCATGCAAATGGAATTAATCGCGGCCAGGAAAACTATTGAGCTAATTTTAATTATCATGCGATTAATTGATTTATTGAATATCGCGACAGGCCTACGTACCGTGCCGTACTGTGACTATGGAAAAGCGGCATTAGTAATTTAAACAGTTCAGGGACGTAATCTGGACTATTGAACTTGCTTCTGAAGTGAACCAAGTCCACTTGATAAAATAAAATCAAATATGACTTGATGCCATTTAGGTTCTAAACTTCAAGATAAACCAAGGTATTTAGAAAAACTTTTTGCCACAATTGGCCATTCGGCATGCTCTGTGTCTTTACCAACTAACATTTAACCAGATAAGTGACCTTTATTTAACCAGGCAAATTCTACTGGAATTTGAGAATCTCTTTTTGAGGGGAGTCCTGAACCAGAGAGATGGGAGCTATTGTACATTATATTGTTTTTAGTGGTTGGGAAAATCTGGAAAAAAAACCTTAGCACCCGGAGGAAAACCTACGCAGACATGGAATTTAATTACATTTATTATTGTGTTGCCCTAAATCACAAGAGTATATCTCAGAGGACTTTACAAAACCATGAGTTTCACCAACACACACACACAAAGAAAAGAGAACACATAGGCATTAGTCAATAAGGGGGAGTTGACCAATGTTCATGAAGAGAAAATGCAAACTCCTTCTGAATGAGAACTAATATACTACAGCTAACTGTAGCTAATAAACTATAGCTAACACGTAGCTAACATACTATATCTAAAATACTCTAGCTAATACACCATTGCTATATTCTTAACGCTATAAATACTTTGGCCTTATTACAGCGGCAGATTGAGAAAAGCCACTATAACATGCACGTGTGTTGGGTGCACTGAGGTTGGGATTCGGCCAAACAACACTTGACACTCACGCGCACAGTCTTCACTTTCCATTCACAAATTCTGTCCTATCAGCTTCATATTTACAGTCTATGGCTCAGACACATCACTGGCTCTGAATTGTCTACTTTCTATGAGTGACATTGCTCTCACCTAATGGTTCCAACTTCCTCGTGGTCCCTGGCTTTGGTTATTTATATTCGCCACTGAATCACACGTTGCCAGGGACATTACGCATGCGCAGAGGAGACTGGGAGAGGGAATCTGAATCATCGGAGGAAGCGGAGATGGGGTGACACAGTGCTGGGAGAGGGGGGAGAACGTAGAGTGATGGGAGCCGGCTGAGGAAACAACTGATCACTCTCCAGGCTGGTAATGACACTTAATTGCAGTTGTTTTTTTAATGAATGCCCGACGTTTTGGAGCTGCTGTTGTTTTTGCCTTGAGTTTTCATTTGTGCGCGCGTTGTCGCTCGCTACATCTGGAGCAGCCTAGTAGGACGTGCGTGACCTTTCCTTTCGTTCGCCATCGCCTCTCTAGTGTTTGCATGTTTTTTTCAATACAACTTCGATATGCCTCTATATGCTGTGATTCGTCTCATCAAGCATCGTAAAGCTTTGATATTTGCTCTAGATGTTTGCGCTTGAACAGTTGTGTGTGCCCTTTGGACGCTGGGATAGAATTATTGTGAATGGCGTCACATATTACCTCCAGTCTCTGTTTTTCAATGTTAAAGTCGTGAAGGTTACGGGATAAAGCAAAGACTCGAATTGCTCAAGGACGCAGTGAGAATTACCAAAGTGATAATATACAAGATGTCATTACGTGTGTTTTGGTTATAGTCTGTTTGAGTGAAGAAAAAAATATACCTGCTTTGTGTCACGTGACTCTATGACGCATGTAGTTTGTGAGCGCTGGTCAATGTCGCTCCATGGATCTATTATAATAACCCATCCAAATATGGGTTTTTGGAGCTACTAACACTGTTGATGTATAATTATGTTTATCATCTATCTTTCAGCATTATCTTCATTATTATGATGTATTTCATGTATTTCATATTTTATTGATATACACATATATACATAAACACACAAAGGACAAATACATTCTAGCAATATTGTTTAAATGTATAATACACAAATTATTTCTTATTATATACATCCACATCATGTCATATGGGTAAATTCAAACTTCAAAACAACTTTATGATTCTGCAGTGAATCCCAGTCTCATGTATCCACTCGGAGACATGAGACATTGTATGTGTTGCTCTTATCCTAACCTCAACTGAAAGTGGCAAGATTTTCTATACACACAAAACATGACTATGTATCGTCAAAACATGTCTAGAAATGTTCTAGGAAGAAGTGACAGTGTTCCTCCAGCCATAGCTATATTTGTGCTGAAATGGCAGAAAATGCAATATTCCATGGGTTATTTGATAGAAGCAGACAAGAGAATGCATCATTAATCTCAATGTACTGAGGCAGCCATGCCGACAGTAGTGTGTTATGTAACAGTCAGCAACTCTCTCAGATTCTGGGATCCATCTGCCTGTGATAGCAGTGGCACTTTCCCACAAAGAGGCAAAATGTGCCTTTAGAACAATGTGTACTCTTGCATTGATCTGTTTGTGTCTACAGCAGATCGACAGATGTGAAGGATGACGTCCTGCACAGAGGTCTGTGGATCCGACCACACAGAGCCGCAGGCCGCCAGCCACTGCCAGCAGTATGGTGTCCGCTCCTATTTACATCAGGTGCAGACAACACTGAACATGTGTCCTGCATGGCTCAGCTAATACTCCTGTACTAACATCAATGTGTCTGATGGTAGTTTTATGAGGAATGCACGGCTTCAATTTGGGAACGCGATGAAGATTTTCAGATTCAGAGATCGCCAAGCAGGTGGAGCTCTTTACTCTGGAAGGTAATATTAATGTCACTATAAGTAAACATATATTTGATGTCATTGACACATGCTCGTGTCGCCCACAGGTCTGTCTTGCGTTTGGAGCATTGGTTCTGTTTGCAGGCTTCATAGTGGTCTTGGTGGGTTATGCCACTCCGACCAGGATTGAGGCTTTTGGAGAAGATGATCTCCTTTTTGTTGACAGGTATGTGTATCTGAGCAATGTTAAAGTCATACATAGTTATGTGTGTTTTTGATGTGTGACATGAGTATTACAATTTTTTTTCATTATTGTTTTCAACAGCAAAGCAGTGAGCTTCAATCAAGCTCTGGATGTGTGCAAACTGACAGGAGCGATCCTGTTCTGTGTGGGAGGCACGTCCATGGCAGTTGGTCTCCTGCTTTCTGCTTTTGCTAAAAGCTACTCCAAAGAAGAACTCTATCTGCAGCAGAAGTTTAAGGAGAGGCTGGCTGATCTACAAGCAACAGTTGGTAAGAGTTGTTTTAATCTTCAAGAAAAACAAATAGAATAGAAAACTTAAATGTCCCTTTTTTCTCAGGGACCCCCATTATGAGAGCACCCACCCCAGGAGAAGGCAAAGTACCAGTCACACTGTCCAAAGTGCAGAACATCCAGCCCTCAAATACGAAGCCAGAGACCTGACACAGACTCAGTGCAGACCAGTGACGTGTGTGAGGTGATATTTGTGACTGAGTGCATTTTCTTTGAAAAGGTCAGCTTACATGACTAGTAGTTCTGTCTTTAAAACCAATAGGATCTTTTAATGTTTTACATCATGAATAGTGCTTTTGCTTTTTTAAACTAAACAATATGCCAAGAATTCAAAGCACAATACTGCCTCTTCACATCTTTTATTGTTTTAAAGACTTTTAGTGGTCACTGTATAGTGCTAGATTGTGAAGCGTACATAGCAACAAATAATTCAAGCAAATATTGCAAAGGAATAACAGTTTGGTTATGTTTGGTGAAGAGAGTTAGAACCAATATAGATCTTCTGCACTAAATATAAAAAACAAACATGCAAAATTGCCTTATACAGTAGTAGATCCATCATCAGCCCCTGCACCTGTGTATACAACTTGAACTTTAGGTTTTTATCTTTTATCTTAGAGGCCAATTGACCTTGTCTTTACCAATACTTGTTCAGAGAGGACTAATCGACTTGAAATGAGACAAAAGCCAAACAGACAGGTGTAGAAAGCAAAGGACGATTGCACTGACAAATTAAGGCTCTACCATCACCAACTATTATGCTAATAGTTTTAGGCTGGGGTGAATAAGCGTGTGGAAAAGGAATGCCCAGGGCGTTAGACTTCCACAAATGTGTTCAAACAAAGCAGCAGGTGTGGTGTTTGTTTATTCAAGGCTTGAAACTAGAGCTGTGATTAAAAAAATACAGTCTGAACAAATGATATATCCCATATGTAGTGGATGTAAATATGAATCTAACTGGGCATTTGTTTAATTTTATTTGTGTATATGCTACGTGTGCAGTAAGGATCACAGTGCCATATATTAAGATGCAGTCCTCACAAAAAAAGGTTTTGCCGTCTCTAGCTGTGGTATAATTATGTAAGTTGACCTTTTAACACTTTTCCTACTAATAAAAAATCCAGACCACATGGATGGAAGCAGTATTCTACTCAAACTGATATAAAATGTATTATCATTTGGTTATAATAAATGAGTGTAACTATGAAGCAGTCAAGTTATTGGTCCAAAGGAAACATCCATCCATCCATCCATTTTCTTCCCCTTAATCCATTTCTGAGTCGGGGGGTGGCAGTCAGAGCTGCACCCAGTCACAGAGCACCAGCCCCTCACTGATCCTCCTGCAGGTGGTGAGTCCACAGGAGCTGAGATCTTTCAGTTGGGGCTTTGGGCAAAGTGGGGTTAAGTGTCTTGCCCAAGGACACAAAACAACAGAATTTCCCATCCATATTGGTCTGATTAGTAGTTTGGTGTACATGTAGTTCATTGCTGTCAGTCGTGAGCTTTTTTTATTTTACTTCTGTATTCTACCAAAGCTGAATTTATCTTCTTTTTTTTCTCTTGAAAAACAAAGTATCACATGGAAATATTACATGAATTTGCTTCACACACACAGTGAAATATAATGTTAATCAAAGCGTAGTATATTAAAACAGTGTCTATTTTTAAATAACCCTAAAATAAAATACTAACATCTCGAACACATTTTCTTTTTCTCTTTCTGTTGTTGTGTGGGTGCATGTTTGCTGTGGTAATTCTTAATGTTGGTTGGACAATTGAAAATGTGAGTTGATTATATTTAAAGCTGAGTTACCTATTTTTTGTGTGTTGTTTTATCCCCATCAGAAGAAGTATTTTGTGAAGAAATCTGACCACAACATGTCGTGTTCATTTGATTACAAAATATCATATATTTTGCGTACTTGTTGGAAAGTGCCCTATTTGACACTCCGGTTGATTGGTCAATTGGCCAAAAAATACATTGATGTTAAAACTCTTGTGATTGAAGTGTCGACACATACATCCAAACAATAAAGTGAGTGTGCAGGACCAGAAAACCCGGGGTTTCATGGTTGAGGAAAATTGAGCCTTAAACTCTGCTGCTCCTGACCATTTTTATTGTCACACTCCGAGCCAATGATGGAACCCAACTGTTTTGAGTAACTGTTGTGTGTCTGAACGGGGCCTTTCTGAGTGGAGTTTGCATGTTCCCCTCGTGTCTGCGGTGGTTTCCTCCGGGTGTTCCAGTTTCTCCTACCACAAAATACAATAGGTAAAATCCTCCAGCTCTGGTCCTGACCAAGCCAACATTTGGAGATGGGTTCCCGGGCGCTGTACTACACCTTAGTGGCATCAGGATGGGTCAAATATACAAGATGGCGCCTCGTACGGTCGACATGGCTCTTTGCTGCTCTCTTTTTCTTTTGTTTTTACTTTTTAATTGTGCATCTGGCTGTTCCTACACCCGTGAGGAACTTATGAACATCCGACCCACCGTTCCCATGGACCTATTGCCTGTTTTCTTGGCATCTGCGGCTGATTTAGTTCATGTTCTAGCCAAAAAAGTGTGGGCCCGTAAAAGGGGAAAGCGCGGAGGCCTGCTGGTGCGTCTTAGGAGGAGAGGAGCGGCACGGCTCTCCCCGGCATTTTTCTCTCCAACGTACGCTCACTGGGCAATAATGAAGAAGATGACAAAGTCTGGGATCGCGTCTTTAATTCAGACAGAAGACATGTTTTATTGTCGATGGTAGAGACAGCACGATCAAAGCACACGATCACAGAAACAATAGAATGCAAGTGTATTATACAGAGCGGAGGCATGGAGACCTCCAATCAGCAGCTGCCACGGTGTGCTTGTAGCTTGGCCTTCAGATAGACAAAACAAGGGGAAAGTACTGGCTTCTGCACATTGATAGAATGATGAGTTTAACTTTAACAAAAGTTGCTTCAAAGTGTTATGAAATCTCACATTCCCCCCTCTGGTCATACATTCACGTGTGACCATCAGGATCGATAAACAGCAACATAACATCATATCTCAATACTTCAAAAACTCATAAACTCGGTACTTCACTCGGTACCTCAAAAAACTCAGAACTCGGAATACTTCAAAAACTCATAAAACATGTTCAGATCTTTCATAAAACTTGTCAACAATCTTCAGTAAAATACCAAACTTCATCAGTCGATGGTTCCAGATATTGCTTTGAAAACAGTCTCTCCCACTTCTCCGTGTTGGTTTCTTCAAGCTGCATTTGTGTCGAGCCATGAATTCTTCTGTGACGTGTCTTTCAATCACACGTTTCAGCTTTAGTGTCCAGATTCAGCAATTCAATTCAGTCCAAATTATGTCCAAATTCAGAAATCCAATTGTTCCAAATCATGTCCAAATTGTGTAATCCAATTGTTCCAAATGATTTCCATGCAAAAGAGGACGCTGGTATTGTCCATGTCTCAGCAGCTCAGAGCCTGACTGGAATCAGGGGCTGTGCAGATTGTCCAAGTGCTGATCCAGATGCATTCTCTTGAGGTTTCTCAGTTTTGGCTTGAAAAAAAAAAAGTAGTCTTCTGTTCTCTAGATGTTACAGACAAGGCCCGCATCCTTCCACCACCTGAAGAAGATGGCATAGTCTGGGATCGCGTCTTTAATTCAGACAGAAGACATGTTTCATTGTCAATGGTAGAGACAGCACGATCAAAGCACACGATCACAGAAACAATAGAATGCAAGTGTATTATACAGAGCGGAGGCATGGAGACCTCCAATCAGCAGCTGCCACGGTGTGCTTGTAGCTTGGCCTTCAGATAGACAAAACAAGGGGAAAGTACTGGCTTCTGTACATTGATAGAATGATGAGTTTAACTTTAACAAAAGTTGCTTCAAAGTGTTATGAAATCTCACAATAATATGGACGAACTCAGCCTGCTCATGAGAAGAAACAAGGACTTCGCCACATCCTGTGTCCTCTGCTTCACTGAGACCTGGCTAAATGAGCGGATCCCGGACTGCGCTCTGGAGCTGCAGGGCTTTGGGCTGTTCCGCGCGGATCGCCATTGTGCGCTCTCAGGGAAGAGCAGAGGCGGAGGGCTGTGTTTCTACGTCAATACAAACTGGTGTAACGATGTGACAGTGATCTCCAAGCACTGCTCTCCTGCTCTGGAATATCTTTTCATTCATTGTAAACCATATTACTCCCCTCGTGAAATTGTTTCATTCATTCTTGCCTCTGTTTACATACCGCCATGCGCGGACGCGCGCGAGGCTCAGCGCGCACTCGCAGAGCAAGTACTGTGTATGGAACGCTTATACCCGGACTCTCTGATTATTATCCTGGGGGATTTTAATAAGGGAAACTTGAGCCAGGAATTACCCAAATACAGACAGTTTATCAAATGCCCGACCAGAGAGGAGAACACTCTGGATCACTGTTACACCACTGTGCGCGGAGCTTTTCGCGCTGTTCCCAAGCCAGCCCTCGGCTTCTCAGATCACTCCATGATACATCTGGTTCCTGCTTACAGACAGAGACTAAAGCTCTCGAAACCTGCAGTGAGGAGCTCCAAAGTGTGGTCTGATGAAGCTGTGGAAGAGCTGCGCACATGCATGGAATCTACAGACTGGGACCTTTTCAGAGCTGCCACAGTCAGTTTGGATGAATACACGGACACTGTGACGTCATACATTCACTTCTGTGAGGATAGCATCATTCCAACAAGGACCAGGGTCATCTATAACAACGACAAACCCTGGTTCACTGCTAAACTCCGGCAGCTCAGGAAAGCAAAGGAGTCTGCTTTCAGGGAGGGGGACCGCAGCGGCTACAAAGCAGCTAAATATCAGTTCAGGAAAGAACTGAAAGCAGCCAAGTCCCGGCACAGAGAACGACTACAGGAGCAGTTTGGTAACAACGATACTGCTTCTGTCTGGAGGGGCCTACGGGAGATCACCAACTACAAACCCAAAGCCCCCCCCCTGTGCTGACGACCACAAGCTAGCTGACGATCTGAACTTATTTTTCAGTCGCTTTGATGCTGCCCCTGACACCTCTCCCTCCCCCACCCCCCACTACTCTAACGACCCACCCATCAGCCCTGCCCCCAGCCTAACAATAGCCGCTAAAGAGATTAAACAACTCTTCTTGAGGCTGCACCCCGCAAAGCTCCTGGCCCGGACCACGTGTCTCCGGCCACTCTGAGACACTGCGTCAGTGAGCTTACTCCTGTGTTCACGGACATTTTCAACACCTCTCTGCAGTCCTGCCATGTCCCGGCCTGCTTCAAATCCTCCATCATTGTCCCCGTCCCGAAGAAGCCCAGGATCACAGGACTCAATGACTACAGACCTGTAGCACTTACATCTGTCGTCATGAAGTCATTTGAACGCCTGGTTCTCTCCCATCTCAAGTCCCTCACCTCCCCCCTCCTGGACCCCCTGCAGTTCGCCTACAGAGCCAACAGATCTGTAGACGACGCCATTAACCTGGCCCTCCACCACATCCTACAGCACCTGGACTCCCCGGGGACCTACGCCAGGGTCCTGTTCGTGGACTTCAGCTCTGCCTTCAACACAATCCTGCCATCCCTGCTCCAGGACAAGCTCTCCCAGCTCAACGTGCCCGATTCCACCTGCAGGTGGATCACTGACTTCCTGACGGACAGGAAGCAGCGAGTGCGTCTGGGGAAGAATGTCTCGGACCCTCGCATTATAAATACAGGAGCCCCACAGGGCTGTGTTCTTTCTCCCCTGCTCTTCTCCCTGTACACCAACCACTGCCCCTCCAGCCACGACTCCGTGAAGCTGATCAAGTTCGCGGACGACACCACCCTCATTGGACTCATCTCCAACAACGATGAGTCCGCCTACAGGAGGGAGGTGGACCGGCTGGTGTCCTGGTGCAGTGGTAACAACCTGGAGCTGAACGCCCAGAAGACAGTGGAGATGATTGTGGACTTCAGGAAGAGCACTGTCCCCCCGCCCCCACCCTCCGTGATGGACTCCCCCATCACCTCTGTGGAGTCCTTCCGTTTCCTGGGCACCACCATCACCCAAGACCTCAAGTGGGAGCCGACCATCAGCTCCCTCATCAAGAAGGCCCAGCAGAGGATGTACTTCCTGCGGCAGCTCAGGAAAGCCAAGCTGCCTGCACAGATGTAGGTGCAGTTCTACACGGCCATCATCGAGTCCATCCTCACCTCCTCCGTCACCGTGTGGTTCGCTGGAGCCACAGTCAGGGACAAACAGAGACTACAGTGCATTGTGCGCTCTGCAGAGGAAGTGATCGGCCGCAGCCTTCCATCGCTGCAGGACCTGTACGTCTCTCGAGCTCGAGGCCGGGCTGGTCGTATCACAGCCGACCCCTCTCACCCTGGACATGGACTATTCCAACCACTCCCCTCAGGCAGGAGGCTGCGGTCCATAAAGACTAGAACAGATAGATGTCCAAAAGATCTAGTATTTATTACGTTTCGGCCTTAGCCTTCGAAGGCTAAGGCCGAAACGTAATAAATACTAGATCTTTTGGACATCTATCCGAGTGTGCTGTGTATTTTCCAATACATTTAATTTCTGCTCCAGCACATGCACCTCATGAGAAGAACTTGGTGTGCGTTTTTGTTTTTCTAGTTACAGTAGTAGTTTATCACCACTGTGTTTGGAGTGAAAGAATAATGACATGTAAAGCGTCTTTGAGTGTCCAAAAAAGCGCTATATAAAACCGATGCATCATTATTATTATTATCTTTGAATCTGGATTGTAACAGCAGTAAACAAAGCCGACAACATAACTTCACTGGACTCAAACCGGAACAAGCACCAAACCATAAATAATGGAAACGGTAGCAGGTATAGGATAATGCTCTTCATAATTAGGAGTCTGTGATTTATAACGCCTATACACTTCTCCAAGTTTCTAAGAATCCAGATGTTTACAACTTCCAGTGCAACAATCTGCACCTTCATTAGGCTTGCAGCACTATTGCGCTGTAGCAGGGGAGTCATTTAGGAAAAAAGGATGCTGTTATTAACTGCACAGCCACCCACAGGCGTACTCCACGGCTTGCAGGGGATCACACTGAATGGATAGTAACTCCACAAATAGCAGCGCATGGATCATCACCTCTGTGAGTCACTTTGGATGGCCCTTGCTCCTTATGTCTTTCTCTCTTCCAGCCATGATGTGGCTCCGGTGGGACATGAATCATAAAACAGCGGACATCTGCTCGGATGGTGGGTAGAAAGGCCGTGCATGGAATTAGATCAGACATCACACTTTGCTTCACAGCCGTTCGGTGGTGGGAGGCAGGTTACCGTTTTGTTCAACTCTTCATCATAGGAAAATGCTGTTAGGGCGAATGAAAGAAAGAAATATGAAGTAATCAAATATTGTATTATGGCTAGTGACGGATGGATTCAGTCTGGCTGTATAAGGCTTGGAAAAAAGATATACATATCTAATTTATAACAAATGGTTGAATTATTACTAGTAATTTTCCATACCTTTTCTTGTTAGATCTCAGAAGCTGAGCAACTTGAGGCCTGGTCAGTTCTTGTATGGGAGCTGATAATACAGGGACAAGTCTGAACAATACAAAATGTGTATTCAAATCTTTGGTGCGTCATCACATTTTATCACTTTCTGCTTTTATAAAATAAATTGTCATCTTTCTAAGGCCTATTGCAATATCCAATGTCCAATACATCCAAGAAGTTGTCAATCATCTATACGTTATAAAACGTATTAAGTTGGTTTGTTTTTTATTCTGCATTATTTTTGTTTTGCTTAACAGTTCAATATTATATACATGTTCGCAGACCAACATATCAAAATCAGAACCAAGAGATTCTTGTTAACATTTTATTGTGCATACATTAAATGAAAACACGCACATCACATGTATCATAATTATAAGTGCCATATCTCTTCTTTGGTTCATCACTATGGACATGAACATTTTCCCAATAATGATAACATACTATAAGTAAGACCTGGAAGTATATAGAACACAAGTTTACACTTACTTCTACTCAATATGAGCACTATAAAGTCAAAGTAACAAAACCTGCTCAAATTAAAGGAGACATATTATGCTAAATCAAATGTAACCAAGTTACGACACTGTTCCAACATCAAAACCAGACCTGGACAACCAGACAATCTGCCGCTTCTCTCTAAAGGCTCCTGCTTCTATAATATTGTTATGTCATTGCACCAGAATGACATCACGCTCAGACCAGTTTTCTGCCTTTTAAAATCAATTTATTGTCCACCAATTAGTTTTGGTAATTTATCAAGTGAAATTACATTCCATAAAATCACCTAGAAGTGTTCCCAAATTTTTAACAGAGAGTTACAGGTGGAAATCCTTTTTCACCCATCATACTGTATAGTATTTAATTATATGAATCAAATAGTCTCATTATAATTTCAATGGCAAAACATTTTTCATAATATTTCTTCTTTAATACATATTTCATGATTCCTGAATTGTTTTGTGAATGTTTACTCGAACGCTTGAGTATAGAGACCTGTCTTCTAATACAAACATTTCTTTGCTACTCCGACTTCCACTATTGACGTAAGTGCTATGTCCATTAAGGCACACCGTGACCTTTTTGGTGAAGGCTCTGAATCCATCTTATCACTTTGCCTTGAGCCTAGGATTAAATCTTCTATCCCCATACAAACAAGCTGATTCAACCAACGATATATTTTCTTCTTCTATTAAAATCCCTGAACCAAACAAATCCAAAGCAGATATCATACGGTGGAACATCAGAACATTTCCATCCAACAATCCAAACAGCTACACAGTGCAACTTAAAGATTCTGTCTGATTATTGTTATGCTCTGTACTGAAAGACATTATAATGTATATTGTACCGAGTAGTTTAAATATACTTCATTACATTAAGAATTGTATACAGGCCTTTACTTCTATTTAGGCCACAGCCCTTTGGAGAGCTTTAAGCACTACTTTTACGAAACTCAACATTCATTATCGCTTCACTCTTTCTCTGTGTCTGGATCTTTCTTGTCTGCGTCGAGGTCGGCTTCACTCTTCACCTCATCATGCTCTGCGCTGACCTCTCCACTGACCTCTCCTGGCTGCTCTGTGTCAATGCTACTGTCAGTCCCGTCCTGTGCCGTGTTAGCATCCTCACCCTGAGTCTCTTTGCTCTCATTATCTGTCTGGGCCTTATCACCCTCGTCACTGTCGTCTATCTGTACTTTCTGCTCCTCCCCTGTGTCTGCATCATTACTTCCATCGTGGTTGGCCCCCATCCCACTGTCTATTTCCTCCACTGCTTCTGCACTTTTGTCTTGATCATTTTGTTCACCGTTGCTAGATCCCTGGTCCTTTTTCTCATTACTGTCCGGAGTCTTATCTCTGGGTCCCTGGCCCTGGCCCGTGCCCTCCTCTGCACTGCTTTTCTCATCTCTCTCTGCATTATTGACGTTGTGTGATGGAGAGCATTCGTGTCCGGTTGAGTTCCCCTTTGAGTCTGCTCCTGTGGGGTCACTGGGGTCCTCCCCGGGCACATCCAGATCAGACTTGTCTGAGGGTAAACCATCTCCATTGGCAGTTTCTTTATTGGTTGGTGGACGGCTCTGGAAAGACAAAAATCAATGCTGGAAATGTGTTTGATTGTTTTATGTGAGTTGGAAGATTTGAAACGGAAGACTTTCAATAGGAAAATGCACACTACACACAGGCTGTCAGAATAAAAACAATCAACAGGCAATAAAATGCTTCAGAAAAACATCGCAATAGCTAATATTATTGAAATAACTTTTACAATACTCAAACAAAACTAATGTAATTTTTCATTTTGCCTGTGCACATGCAGTAGGCCTATAGGGTTGTTGTGATGGATCAATACATAGAAAAATATGTCAAAAGCATTACTTTGATAACGTTCAATCCATGGAATCAATCAGTACTTGAGGCTGTTGTCACTATTGGCTATTCAAACCAAAGTAAGCAAGTAATCTTTATTTATATACCGCCTTTCACAGACCAGAGTCACAAAGCAGTTTACAATTTTGGGCAATTGTCCTCTCACTCCACAAAGAGATAGGAGCAGGGTCGCCAGTACAGGGGGCGCATGCCAGACCTATTGTACGCACATGTTTTTAGTGGTAGGAAAAACCGGAGTACCCGGAGGAAACCTACGCAGACACGAAGAGAACATGCAAACTCCACTCAGAAAGGACCTGTTCTGACCGGGATTAAGTATTCTAACTCACGTATTAGTTCAATAGTTCACGTATTGATTTATTTACTGTGATGATATTGTTGTAATAATTTGGTTTCTTTGATAAATACTTTTTATTTAAAATTTTAATCAAAAAGTGAAGATAAAATAATGACATAACAGACACAAAATGAAGAAAAAATAAATAAAGAAATAAAGAAAGAAAAAAACATACAATCGCTATGTCTCTATAGCTACTTCTAGTTCATAGCCGCAGTGGCCGGTGAGACGTACTGTACAGAGAATATGCAGTAAAGGATGAATAATTGAATGTGTAAACTGTTATACCTGCTCCTCTGTCTGGTTCTGAAGGTCGTACTCCTCTTTGCTGTCTGCTTTCCCCTCCACATCATCTGCAAATCACACAATTACAGAGACATACAGTTAGTGGATAATTCCCTCAATCCCATTCAGACATTTTACCACAACTGTAAATGGTTTATTTGCTGCTAAACCTGAAAGTTCATCCTACCTCCAGCCCAAATAAAACCAAAATACATTACAACCCTTATCAATAAATAGCCAGACTTATTACATCATTTCATAAAACCATCTCAGCCCTTCTTCATATAATGATGCTTTTATTTACTCTCCGCCACAGTCACATCTGAACAGCACAGGAGTGACATCTAGTGGTGAACAGTAGAACCGTCCTGTATTAGGTAAAAGGTAAACAAGTTGAATGCCAATGGAAGTGTGCCAGAGAGAGCTAGTAAACATTTAACAGAGGTACAGGCAGACACAAGTGAAGGTCAGACGCTCATTTTAAATACACATATGACATTAGCTTTTCATCACCGTTATTTTAACTGCACTGTGAGGCTTTATCGCCATCTCTAATCTTACTTTTTCATCACAGTAGGGCTGGACAATTTTTATGTATATGGAATTATTCAGATCACTTCAATTTGTGATTTATGTTAAGAGTGTATTCTCCAAATTTGAGGGAAACCCAAAACCAGAAAAAGGGTTTTTAAGTTCTACATTTAACAAGATTTTTCCCTCTGGAATTAAATGACAAGGAAATTACACTTAATATGCCACTGTGCTTGCTTCAAATTCAGATAAGACTGGACATGCATTTTCTATTAGCAGATAAAACAGTAGTGGTAGTAGTTTTATTAGAGCAGTTTTACAATGTATTTTTTACAGGTTCATAAAATTCAAGAAACAAAACTCAAAAGGAGAAGGCAGAAACAGTCAAAATGCACTCAGGAGAAATACTTGTGGCTGCGCATAACTTTACAATATAAACTTTTCTTTTGATTTGGCTCAATTCCAAATATTATAGCATTAAATATATAATGATGTCACCCATACTTGTCAAAAGTGGCTGTTTAAAAGCCATTTATAGAGTACAAGTGTGTATAGAAGCAACTGAGGTGCAATATCAAGCAGTTCCCCCTGAAACCGTTGAACCCACACAGAGCAGAGTTATTTACAGTTTGTGAGTGCGACTATGAGAGCTGGTGTTAATGAGGTGCATTATACACACTGACACATGACACTGCTACAAACTAAATACTTTTTAATTGAAGCTATGAGCTGTGCATTAGGTATGTGGAGGTGCAACATGAGTTTTAGTCTGATATGGGCTTGTGCATCAAAAGCCCCTCAGTAATTAACCCCAACCATCATTAAAGAAACGCAGAACACGCTCTGGTAAACAACATGATTACAGACTGCTCTAAAACTACACAAACTGAAAATGTAAGCCTCCGCTCTCAGACAAAACAGAAACCATTCACATCTTTAATATTTAGCCTACTCTATACAGTTAAAGAAGAAAATGACTTGGCAGAGATTACAAGAGTTTATGGAGACATTTAATGCATTTCAAATGCAAAAGCGATTGAAGTTTAGCCATGGTGGGAGATGAAACGTTATGGTAATAATAAGGGACCTCTTTAAGAATATTTTATGGTAATCTCCTGCATTCATTAGTTGTAAGACCAAGTGTCTGTAAGCAGAGGCTCAGCTAGAATCAAAACTCAAAACATCTTAACATGATTTCAGCTAAACCACACATACAATATTCAGACCAGCTATATTCGGTCTGTTTTTCCGATGAGTGAAGCGGTGTGCATCCATGTGTGTTCGCCACAAAACAACAAATTTGTCAGAGAAACACATGCAGGGCACACCTGCAATTCAGCCATGATGCTGCGTCTCATCAGTCAGTGAGCTACAACTAGGATGCATCTCTAAGTGGCTATAATTACTCTTATAAATTGCACCGGCTGCCACTTTTATGAAAGCTAAGGTTATAAATGACTGTTGATCAAGGGAAAAAGCAATAAAGCACAGAAGATGAAGTGATTATAACTACAATAACTTTTCTGGGGAAACTCAGTTTATAAATGTCATTGTCTCTGCACCCGTCTGACACATCCTGTGTTATATTTAGGAGCTCTATGGACAGCCTTTATACAGATAACTGGCCCATCTACATAAATAGTCTTCACTTTAGTTTCCAAATACCTATGATCTGTCTCAACACATGAGTCATTCATGGATTTCACACATCAAAAATAATTAAGTGTGAAGTGTGACAAAGAGTGTCTGATCATACAATGCCATTTCTAAAGAGTTGAACCGAAAATACTGTTTGTGTTTATGTAAAATATTAAGTGTTTGGAATACTTACTGCATGGACTAATTTTACACCTCAGCACAAGATCAGAACTCACAGCCACTCTCAACCGCAAAAAACTGTAACCTATTTTTCCATATGCCATATCCACTTCTGCTACTTGTCACAGCTAAAACACATGTTAAAAGATTAATGCAGGAGATTATAGACCTACTTTCCTCCTTCATCCAGTAATCCTGCATCAAAGGGTCATGGACAACCTATTTTGCTGCCATGAAAAGGGGAAGATGAAAGAAGGGGAGGGGTCCACCATGTTTCCTGAGATGTTAGTCATGTGACACATGTCTACACACCCTCGCACATATTAGGACAGACTTTTACAGCACGCAAACACTTTCTCTGAAGTTGAAAAACATTACATTAAAAAGTCACCATCTTTCATACTTAGCTTCTCGAATGACACATGATTTAAGGCAGTCTTCTTTTTATGCATGCACTATACTGTCTTGAACTGAAACTCTCTGACAGCCCCAGCAGATACATATGCTAACGGGCCTAATTCTCCAAAGTACACTCACTTTGCATGACACCAAAAGTCGAGCCTGCAAAGGGAACAACACCCCAGCGTGCTTAAAAATGAAGCAATATTTCCAAGACTGATATCTTTTGAAAACTAGAAACCTTCCTTTAAACATCCTTTACTTTTAATCAAACTGCATTGGAAATAAAATATTGCAGCAATTGAATCAGCTGTTGCAAGTCTAAATGAAGAAACCCCATACGGGCATAAAATAGTGTTCATGCTACATCAAAAAGAAGATGATATTTTAAATAGTGTGAAATTTGGGTTTGGTAGCATAAAAAATATAGCACTAAATTGATACTTGACTTAATTTCTTCTATCGTAAAACCAAACAAAATGTGTAAATCATAACATGCAAAAAATATTATAGGCCTATTTTCAATTATAAGAATGTAAGATTGGCATTTGCAGGACTACTCAAACTGATTTACAGACCGAGGTCACTCAAAGCGCATTACAATGTTCAGAGTTCAGATACTGTTTAATTCTCTCCACAAGGTGATGACGGAACACATTGCCTCATCCACTCACTCGTTACATTCAGACCTACAGTGCATGTTTGTAGACTAGGGTAGAACAATGCAAACTCCACTCAGAAAGCCCCTGTTCCAACCGGGATTCGAACCCAGGACCTTCTTGCTGAGGAGTGAGAGCGCGGCCCATTTAAGAATCTATGCTTGACACTGTCTGACTCATATTTCTGATTTACTCATAAACCTGCGCAGAGTCTCAGATCCTTGAACATCAACTTCCTTCCTTAAAGCAGCTTTCTCCCATTAGGCTGCTTGTAAATGGAATGCTCTGCTGTGGTCAGAAGAGCTGTAAAGATGGCTACTTAATACTGTTTGGGTTTACTGTAGACTACTTTTAAGACCGTCCTCATTCGTCCATAATTTTTTTTTAGATATAGTTTTATTTCCAGTATTGACAGTCTGTTAAATGTCGATTGTAGTTTCAGTATTATGGGTAACAATTTATTTAACACACCCAAACATGCAAAATCACATACAAAAACAGCATTGTAGTCCCATTGTGAAAACTTTCTATACCATTAAGTTTCCATGTTGCTGTACCCTTTATCCCATCTGTACGTTCAACGCCGCAAGTTCACGTGGCAAACCTTACGTCCCCGCTCGCTAAGTGCACCTCCACATTTAGAGAAGCGCATCATCACGCTAATCTATCCCCCTTTCAACACAAAGACCTGGCTTCGCTTCTTACATAAACCCAAGACATGCGAATCAATACAACGCAACCTTGAGTTACAGTAGATTGCTTTAATGCACTACATCAAGGCATGTACAAGGGGCGCATACAATCAGTAAACACTCCAGGCCCATGTCTGTCAAAAGAACGTCTATTTCTCTCCCCCTCCGCTCCTGTCCAGCTCGCCTCCTGGAGTACTCTGCTTCTTTTGTTGATTTCCCGAGCTGTAATTTGGCCTCGGCGAGGGGCAGAGGCAAGTAAAATTCTGCTTTGATGACTCTAAATGGAGAGATTATCCAAATGAAAGGCAATTATGGAGAACCCCCACCTACCCCCCAACCCTTCAGTATCTTGTGCGCTTTTTATTCCGCTCTGTCTATGGCTTCTAAGGCTGTTTCATTATAGTCACTGCTCACTTCCACCTGTACTCTGGAAGTCCTTTCTTCGTAATACCCTCCCTTCATAATCTCAACCTTTTATTCAGCATTTGGAAACCATGTCCATTATTTTTTTTTCCACCAACTTTCCTTTCACAAGTCGCGTACGCTTCGCCTGTCAAAACATCCGCTCCTGCCAGTCCCCAATTCTCATTTCATTTTCCACGCCATCCTTCAAGGTTATTAACCAAACCACAGAGTCACAAAGGTGCCCTCGCTGATAAACATCCCCAACTCATTTTAGCGTTACAACAACTGCTAATTGGCTTTCTACAAACGGGGCATGTTTTGAAATAGGTCGGTCAAGTTGTCCCTAAGTGAATTGGAAGTGCGGTTATGAAGTAGCTAAAGTTTAGGTCGTGTTTCAAGTTGAATGCGTTTTTTGACCTTTGCAGCAGTCCTCTTGGTTCTTGTCTTTACTGTCCTTCACCACTCTAATGAGAGGAAAAAGCCAAGACCAGCTAAAAGAGACATAAAAACATGCATGAAATTCTTTTTTTCACATGTAACTTCTTAATTATGATGGAATGATTCAGAAGAGGAATTCAAAACGTATTTAAATTTGATTTAATAAAAAAAAATATTTATAAAAGAAGTATTAAAGGGGTTTGCGGGGGAAGCGAGTGAGGAGAGAAGTGTAGGGTTAGTGAGTGTTTTGGGCCTTTGTCTTGTCTGTGTGAATAAGTGCGTGTGTGTGTGTCTTGGTCTTGTCGTGTTTCATGCTGGTAGTGTGTGTACTGTATGTGTGTGTGTGTGTGTGTGTGTGTGTGTGTGTGTGTGTGTGTGTGTGTGTGTCAGGTAATGAAGCTGTAGCACTAGCTTCTTTACACTTGTCTCATTAAAAGAACCTTCAAAGCCTTAAACATGAAGAGGATATAATGAACTTTCTACATTTAACAGGTGAATTGTGCTTTTGTATTGCTTTGCTTGAATGTTACATGAATATATATGTATATTTCTTTGGGCACACTAGTTGCTTGACTCCCTCAAGAAATACAATTATAATTATATGTGGACTAGACATGATGCACTTTCACTGGGAATCGAACAACACACCAGCTTTTGTATTGCATTAAACTGAAACTAAAAGAATAAGAAATAAGATGATTCTTTAGTTAGAGAAGGCTGCCTTATAAATTGGTATTCAGTACAGAAGTCTACATCAAACGAATCAATGGGAATGATGGAAGCTGATGATTTACTGTTGCAAGCACAGAAGAAGAAAGCAACCGTCAAAAGAAAAGAAGGATGGATGTGAGCGTGAAAGGTTTGCTACAGCTGTCCAGGGAGCACAGCGCCTGAGGTCCACAGCTGCTGGAACCCGCTCTAGTCATCCATAATTGCTAAAAGGCAAACTCTGAATCTATGAATGCTCCTGGTGTTGTTGTGGTTGTTTTGTGTTTGAGCTGATTCATGCTGTGATCTGTCTCTAACTACCGGAGAGACAACTTTTTGGCTGCATTTCATCTTGGCACCAGTACAGGGTGTTTACTTTATACACACTGAGTGCTCAAAAACCACACAACTGTGTGGTGGCGAGCGCCCAAACAAACCACCCAACAAAAAACAATGAAGCGCTATGGGCTAGATATGGAGCACAAAAAGTACAAAAAGACATATTCAGGACCTCGGACAGAGACAGCATCTAACAATGAGAAACCATATACTGTATAAGGAGTTCATTTATTTATTTATTTTATAGCCCTGAAGAGCAGTCATCTTGGATCTAAGATTGTCAATTCATCAACAACAAATGTGAGAATCAGTTTGTCCTGAATCACTGTCCTTAGACTCTCCAGCATCTGCAAGGAACGACTCAAAAAAACCCAATAGGGGTGGACTGACCGAGTGCTGAGGCCACCCATAGTGTGACGTCAGCACAAAACAAACGTTTTGAACATAAGCGAGCTGGGTCCAATTTCCTTATATGGTCATGGCATTAGCTTGTCACTGTTTTTCAAAATAAAAAAGGACATTATAGAGAGCACTAAACCACTGATTTAGCCCAAAATGGTGAGTGTAACACATATGGTTATTGAGCTCAAGTCCATGGACTCTTTTATATTGGGCTTCATTGTCCATCTATATATACAGTATGCTAACCACAAAGTCAAGTAGATTATTATTATGCCATTATAGGTCAAACAAATCAAGGGTGAACAAATATGTGAAATGTTCTTGTATGATGCCTGATCTTGTTTTGAGAGACGTCCCAATTGAATCTTTAGTCAATGTCACCCAAGGAGACCAATAATGCAGGCCACAAGGCTGTCAGAGCCAATGATGATATGTCAAATAGATTTGAAGAATTTGGAGGTTGACATTACAGGTCCCACACATGCACATTCCTTTAAGCTGCTGTTTGATGAAAAATGCCATATCCTCTAAAGCAATTCTCAATGCTCATTTAAGCATGTGCTGTCAGGTCTCCCAGCAGAAGAGAAAACAGGCCACATCTATCATTCTCCGCAGGGTGACGTCATCTTATCGCACCACACACAACCAGCCACAATAAGCTCACTGGACTGGAACCAAACCACATTTACAACAAAGAATAAGCAGACATTTTAGCTTATTTACACAAAGAATTATATGGGAAGAGAACTAAAAGATAAGAATATTTAAATCAGTCTTGCAAGTTTACTCTGCTATAAACTGGAGGCATTGAAGCTCTGTAATGAGTGTGAACAGACTAATCAGAAGCCGGGAAAGTGACGTAATGTGTTTCTTGTAAAAGCGATTAATGTCATCATGCGAGAACCCCTGTAACACAATGCTTGAATAGAGCAACAGCGCCACTCAGTGGACAATGACAGCAGTGGCTTACATAAGCTATGTCTCGATATACTATATATTTGATACAATATTCAATCTATCTGGAGTTTTATAAATAATAGGTATAAGCAAATTCCATACAAGATTTGTTTTAAAGTCAAGATGGCTGGTAGTTTAAATTATTTTGGATATTGTAAATGTTTTTCCTTCTTTGTCAAATAATGATGTTTGTAACTCATTTTGCTGTAACTCATTCTTCAGATTATTGAAGTCTATTTTCTCTCAATTGCCACAAAATAAACAATTAATCAGTTTATAAAAAAAATGTATTTCAGTAAAACATCTGTAATGTAATTATATACACTTTATATCATACAGACGTACATAATGTACATATCAGAGGGACATTCCAAATAAAAATGAAAATAACTGAGATAATAACTAAGATTAGATGCTGGTAGCGGTTTCTATTAGAAAACACTGTATTTATTTAATTGTATTAATTTTGATATGTTGTATTATTATGACTGGTTTATTGTTTTCAAACACTGTTCGAAAAGTGCGATAAAAATACAGATGTCATATTATTATTATTTATATTATTATTATTTTTACCTTTAGAATATGCTTCTAGATTCAAGTGACTTTGTGCTGGAGCAGTGTTGGCCAGTGGACTCACCCAGGGCCATGTTCTGTCCGCTCCTCTTCTTCCTCAGTGAAATGAGCCGAGACTGCGAAATCTCCCTGACGATGGCGGACAAGTGCTCTTTACTGTTCCCGTTCAGCGCTGGAGGACTGTCGCCACTGTCACTGGACTGCACCACGGACTTTCCCCGCAAAGAAACGTGCTGTTAGTGGAAACATATGAACTCTCTTGACCAGTACAGTCTCATGCCAAATCATTGCTGTAATCAAATGGCAGCTAACTGATTTTAGGTAGTCTGCAGAAACAATCATAGAAATACAAATAACATAAATACATGTTACTGTTGATCATAACAATAGTATTAAAAACACAGTGAGCATTCTACAATATTACATGGTATTTGTTATATGTGCATTTACTATTACGTTTTTGTAGTCAAGGAAAATGAAAGAGCATTCGACATACTGAAAACATTGTTAGTTACTCACGTTGCCATTTTGTTTTGACATTCTGTAAATCGGTGGTAGAGAATAGGCTTTCATTCTGTAAACAAAACTGTAAATAATTATCCCCAAGGAAAAAGTTGACAGTCTAAAAATAATGATAAACATAAACTTATGTTTGTGTTGCCTTGAAGGCTACCCTATGTGGCCATAAATGATGTTCCATATATAAAGCATACCGCCCGAGGAAGGCCCCTCAGAGTAAATAACTCCTGGAAGGGTAATTAGTGCCACATAGCAACAAAAAAAAAACACACACTAAATGAACACCAACACTTCCGTTGCTCTGATTTAGCAATCTCGTGGCATTGTTGAATCATCGGGGTATTATTCAAATCCATTTTATAGAGAGAACAAACAAATTAGTTTAAAATTGTAAAGGTCAGTTGTCATGAGAGCTGCCATAATACCTTGTCATCCCTCGAGGTTTGGAAAAAAGTAGGTCGATGTAGGGTAGTTTCTTGAACTTGTCCCTCCCCACCGCCACATAGAGCTGACCACTCTCCAGCTGGTTCCCATCAGTCACTATTTGGCCCTCATATGTGAACAGACTAAACACACACACATACATAATTAAATCACTCTAACGGGTGTCAACAGTAGTGGAGCGTGTGATCTGAAGGTTGGTGTTCAAATTAAGCTCTTGACATTAACATTATTGATGGGGAAATTCACTGAACCACAGAGTGTCAGGTGGGATTCCAGACAAATGCTGCTGTGTCCCTGAGCATCACACCTTTCTTCTCGAGTCGACAAACACTACGTTTGTGGATGGTTGAGTGGCTCATTGCACTTTGCTTAGAAAGTGGAAACTTGCTTAAAGTAGTACTAGAATTTAAGATAACTACAATATGTGTTTGTAATATTTTGGGTGTTCATTTTGACATGTTCAGATGAATTATGTTAAAAAAAACGTCTTTAAAGTGGCACCTTTTCACTTCCGCATAGAAACGCTAGGGGGCGCCAAAATGGCGGCGATGACGTAGGAGAATGACCTCTCACAGCAGCAGACAGCAGTCTTGGCTGGAATCTGTAGGAGGTTTCACTGTCATCTGAACAAGGTATAAACATATTTTCATCAGTTTTGTACATAATAGTTTGCAAGCTTTTAGCCTTATATGTGAGATTCAAGCTAATTAGTGTTGGGCAAGTTGGCTAATATTCGTTTTTACATTATGCCAGTCTCACTTTGGCTGCCTTAGATTTATTTACCACAATGTACATTGTAATATCCAAAAATGCTAATCAAAATTACTTGAATTAAATAAATATTTTACTTTTATGAACAAAAAGCTGCGGAAGTTGAAAACATAGACTACATGTGATGCAATCATTGATAAAAATGCTAATTAAACCGTTAATAGGTGTCTATCTAAGGCAACCAAAGTGAGACTGGCATAATGTAAAAACGAATATTAGCCTTCTAGGCATGTTTTATAATACCAAGTAGAGTTAGCTAACTTGCCCAACACTAATTAGCTTGAATCTCGCAAATAAGGCTAAAAGGTTAAAAGAGTTGCGCACTAGTATGTACAAAACGGATGAAAATATGTTTCTACTGTACCTTGTTCAGATGACAGTGAAACCTCCTACAGTTTCCAGCCAAGACTGCTGTCCGCTGCTGTGAGATGTCATTCTCCTACGTCATCGCCACCATTTTGGCGCCCCCTAGCGTTTGTTAAAAGGTGCCACTTCAAAGCCGTTTTTTTAACATAATGGGCTATGTCACTCCCGTATTCGTCCCGGAAACCGTATTCGTCCGGAAGTTCAGTTTGCGCATGTCAAAAAGTTTAATATGTCCTTAAGTGGTGACTGGTTAAGTTTTAGGCGTCTGATTAAGATGGTTAAGTTCAGGGTTAAGGCTGGGTTGGGGTTATTTTATGGGAATGGCTGGTTAAGTTTAGGCATGAATAGGTAGTTTGTTTTATTTACTTCCGCTTCCGTCCAGATTCCGTGATGTAATCTACTGCTGCTGTCATAACTCGGCTCAAATAGAAATGACAGAAACACGCCAAACCGTTGCCAATTGGAATAATGTTTATTAATAACCAAACTTAATGTTTTAATGGGGTGTGTAAGTCTGTAGTGAGTGTGTGCGAGTGTATGTGCTGTGAAGGTAAGTCTGCGGTGTTGAATAGTGGGTAGAAAATAGGCCACAACCTAAACTAACCAAACCAAACTGAAGGAGGCGGGGCACGCAGGTGGCAGGATGGGAGCGGAATGAGCCAACAAGAATGTCTGGCTTGCACCAGAGCTTTAAAGGCGCGGCTCCGTCTGACGCACCAATGAGCGCAGGTCCCATCTGAGAGGAGAGGCTATACGGCCTGTTAGTGGCCGCAACACTGCGTATGCTCATTGGATCAAACTGAACTTCCGGACGAATCGGGTTTCCGGGACGAATCCGGGAGTGACAGGCTATATGCACGGGGAGGCGTGACGTCATTTCCTGTTAACAACGCACAACCCGTCCACTTCCTGCCTATGCTATCCTATGGCATTTAGGTGAGTTTTAGTGACGTTTTTTAGTAATTAGATTGATACATTCAGCTGTGAGACTGACCCAAAAGTGTCGCTGTGCTTTCCCTCTGAGGTAGAGCTTCAACTGTGGCCACTCAGAGCGATTTTTAAACGTTATAAAGACACAATGACAGCACAATCAAAGAGCAAAAATCCCAAAAATGCCCAGTATTCTCACAGTGTAATTCCCGTTTGAGCATTATTTGGGAAACTCATGTAATCATCTGCTGAACTCCAGTGAAACTCAAGCTGTTTCCCGCGAACAGGAAGTGAGGTGGGGCTTTAGCTAAAACCAGTGGGGGCGGGTCCCAGCTCAAAAGTGGCCAAAATGACGTGCGCTGACATGCTTGCAATACCACCCCTGGCCGATGGGGGTGGACCCAGAAGAAGAATTAGCCAATTCTAACATATAGCGTTGGCAGACCTCTCAAAAACGTCTTTACAGGATGGACCAAAAGTTAGCTCTTGGCCCAAAGCGCCGTTCCACATGTGTGTCAATGCTGAGGGGGGTGAATTTTTTGGTCCACTCTAGTTTACTTGCTGTGAATTTTTTAAGTCTCTCGTTCAAATGAATGGAGCTTGTGCCGGCTGACGCATGCGCAGATGCGTTTTTTCCCAATTTTCTTGTGGGCGGGACCACTCGTGGCCATTTTGGATAGCTCCAGTAGAGCACATTTTTTGGCCCATTAGTTAGAACGGCGGAGATAGACTCTGTTCGTTAATATATACAGTCTATGGTGAAAACGCGGAAGTGGTGCGTGCATAGAGCCCATTCATCTGAACATGTCAAAATGAACACCCGAAATATTATAAACATATATTGTAGTTATATATTCTGGATAGCAGCATATTAAATTCTAGTACTACTTTTAAAAAAGTAATACATAATTTATGAATAATAATCAAGCCATAAAATGTTCTGTTTAATGATTTTGTGAAGAATATCTTATAGTTCCAAAATAGGAAAATGTGGAACTATGAGGCATCTGTGAACCTTTGAAACACAAACAAAAGCTACACATCATGCTACACAGAAAGAATTGGACAATTAGACACAAGTTGAGACGGATAGTCATAATCATGTTGTAAAGACAAGAAAAGTTCATGTGTTGCACCTTCGCACTCCCCCCAGGACTTTCAGGCCCATCTTGTCCGTAACCAACTCCAGGATCTTATCAAACTGCCCCAATATCCTCTGGTGAATTAGTAACCTCACGGCTGGATTCAGCACATCTCCGTTTGCTACAACACTAAAAGGAAAGTGAAAAGGAAATGTACTAAGTCATGTTAAAGTCTAGTTTCAAATTGTCCACGTCTTACAATACAGGGCATGGCTCCTTGATGGGCTTCAGAAACCGTGCTGACACCTTGATTCTGTTTTGTGGCAGTGGCTTTGCCTGTAAAGATAAGATTAGACAAGATAAGATACACAATAGCCCTAACCCTAACTTTATTGATCTCATAATGGAGAAAATGTACATGTCACATTTGGCATAGACAGAATCACCATCAATGTGCAAAACGAGAGGTGTGCAAACATGTTAAAAAAGGTTAAAAAAAATAGTCTCTTGTGTTATAAAGATATATTATGTACAATAAAATCAATCAATCATTTTTTCGGTCCTGGTGCATGTCATTAAAGTGCCTTATTGTGCAGTCTGACAGCAGGGATGAAAAATATTTGTTGTGTGAATTTAATGTTTACCCAGGTGCCTGTTCAGTGTACATTCTGTGCCTATAATTAAAAATGGCATTGGAGCATTCTGTCCCATTGGAATACAAGGGCATCTCTTAATAACAGGAGGAGGCCGAGTGCGTCTGACAATGGTGAGCTACTGGGGAAGGTTCTGCAGGGATTATAATGACAGTGGTTCAAAATAATGTGAGAGATTTATTAAGAGACCATTATTATTGTGCAAATATGAGTTGTTTTCCCTGTTTTCACCTGCATTTGAAAACCTAATCTGTCAGATCTCAGAAGCTAAGTAGGGCAGGATGTGGTTAGTACTGTGATGGGATACCTCTAGGAACACCAGGTGCCACAGAGGGCTGGCTGCGACTGTAAAGCTCCAAACTGTCTGTCAAAATGTACCTTCCCCAAGCCACAAGGCAGCGCTGTGGGATTTTTGGGACCTGTGCCTATTCTCCTAAAAAAATGGGAAGAACTAGATGGAGAGGAAGCTGCTTGGTTTGGAAGTAAACTATTTATTACTGATGGGTTATAGGGGCCAATAAAGAACCATCCATCCATCCATCCATCTTCTTCCCTTAATCCATTTCTGGGTCGGGGGGGGGGGGGGGGGGGGAGCTTGGAGGACAGGTGGCTTTCAAAAGGGAAAACAACTTTGCCTCTACACTGTTGTTGTGTCCTTAGGGAAGACACTTTACCCATATTACTTAGTAAGAGTCAGGTGTGCAAATGAATGATTGGTGTTGGTCGGAGGGGCCAATGGCAAAGATGAATTCACCTGTTAGAGTGAATGAATAATGCAAAAGGTTTCTAGCTAACCCTAGCAGGTGGTTTGCATCAGTAAACACATGACGCTATCACATCATGTAATCGGCCATAGTGTCATCAGTAATCACATGACACCATGGCCGCTCTGAGAAGTAATTGAAGCAGGCTCCTTTCACTACGCTGCCGAACGGAACGTTTCAAGAGATCCTTTGCTCCTTCGGCTGTCAGACTGTACAAAAAACCTGGATGAGTCTTCTTCTGCTAGACACCAGAATTTATCCTACGGGGATCAATAAAGTATCTATCTATCTATCTATCTAATCAGTGCTTAGGAGCCACATGAGGCATATACAAATCCATAGATTGTAGTTAGAGGAGCACCCCATCACTATTTTGGCTGTATTATTCTACATTTTTATCTGTCATTTACTCCCTAGAAAGTATAGTATTGTATTTCTAGGTATAGCAGAAAACATTAACACATACATTTCACTAAAGATGCAAATTCAATTTTCCTGGTGGAGTCTAAATGGTGATGTTTTTTCCCTGGATGTTCCCCAGTATGACATTCAATTTAAATGTTCATTGGCGACGAGCAAGTGACAAATCATGTCTGTGCAGAGGGGAGTCAACCCAAATGAGAATTGAGATTTTTGAGCAGCGAATGAATCTTTAATTAATATTTCACACGTGTTATACTGTATCATTCCGCGTTGTGATGCAAGAAAATAAATATGAATCTCCATGTTAGCAGGCAGGTAAAAGAACTCACCGGATCTGTTGTTCAATGCACCTTTTATAGAACATGGAAATACTGCTGTTTGTAAAATAATAAAATAACCTTATCGTCTGCTGTGGCATTTATCCTTTTGAGAATAACACCACACATTACACTGTCTCCAAACTTTTTCTTTTCTTTTTACTTGTCTATATATCTCTTGCATTTGTCAGTTCACTAACCCAGGGCAATAAAAGCAGGATATTGTGACATTAAAAGAATTTTGTCCCCGTGGGCCATAGAGAAAGATGTATTGTTAACACGCAGGAAATCTATTTTATCTCTATGACAGCAAAAGAATGAGGCCTCTCTAATCCTGGAGGTTGTGAGGGGAAAGAAAGGCAGCGCTGCAGGCCCCCGTCCCACAACAACCGTAACCTGTGTGACAACAAGCTGAGATCCTGCCCTCGGAGAACCAGATAAGAGAGCAGCAAGACTATTAAAAAAGTCCTGTGGGATCTGAGTGTGCTTCCAGGCAACGGAGGACTACCGAAAGAATCGAGCAAGACATGAACAAGCAGCGAAAAAAGAGATTAATTACAATTATCAACAAATAAACACAAAAAAGCAACAAAAAATGAATGTATATTAAGTATTATCTCATGTTATTTTGTATTTTTTTACTTTTTTTGTGTGACAATGCTTTTTTGTAGGGAGGACACCATTTAAACTTGTTGTAGAAATGATAATAATAGTAACAACAAAACTAAATGATTATTGGCCATTGATGTCTTTTGATGTTTGTTTCTTAATAGGGTAATAAATAAAGCAATAAACAAATCTATGCCGGTCAACCAGTGTAAATTAGTTTTCAATTACCTTGGCTGACCACAACACACTCATGTGGGTGAAAGAACACCACAACAACTCAATTCTTAATTCAAATGCCAAAGAAAGATCATTATTTGAGTGTGTGTATATATTTATTTCACTGTGTATGTGCTAAACTGTTACAAAATCAAAATTTCTGGAGGATAAAGTTGATGGGCACTAAACAACCAGTCGATCCCTTTGAGACAAGTTTGCTTCTTGAGTTCAAGTTGTCTTCTCAATGTGTCACAATTGACAATTCTTGATGCTTACAATCATAGTGTAGTCTGAATAATCGTAAATACGTAGACAATTAGCCTAATCATCCTAATGCAGAGAAGATATTGTGAAGGATTTTGTTGGCATTGTGAAACTAATGTATTCTACAGAAGGGGAATGGTATAGTAGTACAGCAGGCAGAAATCTATATAAATAATCAGATGGGGGAAAAAAACTGGAAAAAGACCAAGAAATGCTGAAGTTCTTGAAGGTCCTTGTCCTCAGACCACATAATCAGCTGCACAAGTGGAGTGGTGACGAGGGGCAGGTCCTTATGAACTGAATTGTCTCCTTTTGCGCCGCCGATAATCAGAGTAGCCCAGAGCGGGAGCTTATCTCAGCAGCTGATAAGACAACATTATATCTGCCATGAGGACTTCAGGCTACAACCGGCTTCTGCATCATTAATCTTTGTTACTGTTCTGAGTGCGATGTCGTTTGCATCTTGGATTTTAATTACCTGAAATAGTATAAATAGTTTGATATAGAGGCTGGGTTAAAATGTGTATTGCTTTCACTGTTAATTGTTATTTATTTGTGTTTCATTTACAATTCTCTGATAATAAAGGCCGTTTTTGGGAGATAGACAAAAATCACCTGTGAGGCCTGTGCTGACCTATAAGAGGAGCGAACTGGGACAAGTATAGCGTGATTTACCATGAGTGTTGGGTAATTAGTTACTGTAATTAGATTACTTTTTGAGTAACTACTTAGTGTAACGCAATACTTGGAATTAGATTACAGCTACTATCAAAATTCTCTTTCTTACCCACTTGCATAACACAGAAATGCAGCTTCAACAAAACCCACAGAAAGTAATGAAGCATTAAAAGCACCTCAAATATGTTTCTAATCTTGATGCTAAGTCTAGGAGCCGCTTTGAGAACTCATTAGTTGTTTACGGTTTAGTATGTGTAACTAATTACTTATAGTCTGAAATTTCTCCACTGTGAGACTCATAAAGGTTTATCTTATCTCTCTTAGTTATAACTTGCCCAGCACTGTTTACAATGTGGCCATGTCATGTGCTTTGTCTTGCCATTTATAGGCCTGAGCTAAAACTATTGCTGTGTTCAAGGCAATGTTAAAGTGTCAGATATTTCCTTATTGGAATACATTAAATGAGTTCTCCCTTTAGAGCGTTCCAGAATAATAACTGTGTATATGTCACTCCAAAAGACTGTTTGTGCTGATTTTACATTTTTTATGTGGGACAAATATGTGTGAGGCCGAATGAGTCAATATAAAGGTGAGCTAGCCTTAGATATTAGATGCTCATCATCATTTATGGAATTTCATCCCATCTTATTGAGTTGATTATACAGAGTGGGTCATTAAAGTGGAGGTCAGTTAATTTTTAAGATGGTGAGGCGTTTTTCAAATGCAATCGTCCGTTAAACCCCACTGGTTCCTGATTGGATGCAATGAATTCAAATACTTGATGACTTAATGACAACTTTAGGTCACCAGAGTAGTCCAGGGGCCGACATCACAGACTCAAACTGTCTTGACTAACATCGGGCTGTTCTGAGCTTTGGTGATCTATAACAGAGCTGAAGTTGGCTGAATGACAAATGTTTACCATCTCACCAGCTACAGTAACACCATTAACGGAAGTGACACAATTAAAAACCACGTCAGTACAGTATAAATAAAGTCAACAACGTCCTGGGATTTGGAACAAGGTCTATATTGTCTGAGCTGAAGTTGGGTGGATGACAAAGTGAACTTTGGGTTAACAAGGCAGAGGGCCACATACAATGACACTGAGGGCCGCAATTGGCCCGCGGGCCTGAGTTTGGACATGCCTGGTCTGACTATTCTCATCCAGCAAATGTTACTGGTGATGCTTATTCCAAGGGGAGGGAAAATACATATAGATGATCATATATAGATGATACTACAGGCGTCACATGGTCAAAAATATGCACATGAGGTTGCAGACATCACCTTTAAAGTGACATTAAAATGCATTGTAAACTTGAGTTCTATTTATCCCTGGCATGGTGTCATTAGTTCTAGAAAATTATACTCTAATACACTGATCTCATGAACACATTTTAAAGCATACATTTACCATAATTGTAGACATGTGAATGATATCTTGAAATATCCAGCCATTATTGTTATTTGTGATATTTGGAGAGCTAATTGGAAGGGGATCCCAGGTCAACATTGCAGAAAAGGGTCTAATATTAAAGAAAAAGCCGAAAATCACAATTTTGATTTATGTATTACAAACCATGTAATATTCTCACTAATTAATACAAAATGTCATAAAACGCTGCTCTATGCAGTATCCTCCTATTTGGATGTTACATTAGAAGTCATCAGATTTATATAAACTAAACCTAGAGATTATGATCCATGAATGAATAATAGATAGTTACTGAGACTGCACATAAGTGACAGAACAAATGAAAGGTCTGCTCAACTCTACACCTGCTCAGCTGATCTCTTTGAGGCCCCTACGCTGTGTCTGAGTGGCAGAAGACCTTCCGCCTCATAAATGTTGCATTTATGTGGGACTGGATGATGTGACCGCACATTAAGAGTTATACGTTACTTCAATCATGTCAGATTTATAACTATTTTAATGTTAGTCATTTTCACTAGACATAACCACAGCTCTGTACATTTCTCCCTAATGGAAAGTTGATTTGTATTCCACAGTTCATACACAAGGGAAGTCAAAGTGCATAACAGATCATATACAAAAGCATAAAAGGTATAGAGACAGTAAATAATCAAACAATACATAGCACATGTTTGTATCACAGAAGTGTGAGTGGAACCTGAGCATATTGTTCATGCAAACACACCCAGATTAATGCTGATTGACACAACTTTGTAAATTATGGATGCTTGTTCCACAGCAACTGAAAGTATTAATAGGCTGACAAGCACTTAACTGGATCAACTCATGCATGCCTAAAATGAAAATACTATCATAACTATTATTGCTGGTCTTTACTCCGTGAATGAGTGAATACAGTCTTTTTCTACCATATAATTATATTAGTCCACTATTTTATTTTATCTTAAAGTTGTGACTTCCACACCCCTTTTTACAAGGCCTGAGAATATTGGTCAAAAGCCCTGATATTAACATACCTCTGTATTTTGTCCTTTTTTTTTTTGCATACCTGTAAAGGAAGAGCCTGCAACATCCTCTTCTTTCTAGGGCCAATCTCAAAGTAACTAGAAAAGACAGATTGAATTGAAATTGTTGAAGTGAAACAGCATTGCATATACAGATTTAATGGAACGTCTAAGATTGATGCCAAATGCTTTTTCCAGCAAATAGTTCACAAAGTTGATTACTTCAACTCGCTGACATAAGTTATTTTTTATTTCTAGCCAAACTTCTATTAAGAACATCTCATTAACATAATAAATGATTCATCCTTGAAACAAAGTATAGCACAAACACAATACCATGAAGAAATGCAGACATAGATCATAGTGTTACAGGAGGTCTTACTCGAGCTTCTTGAACCTCTCTCTGCCCGCAGCCACATACTGCTGTCCGCTCTGCAGGTTCTCCAGGCGCTCCACCTTGTGTCCTCCCCGGGGCGTATAGATGTTCCTCACGGCTCCGAACGGCGCCTGGATCCCACTGCTTACCTCTCTCAGCAGAGTATCAAAGTTACAAACCCTCTTCTGGTTGATCACGATCCTCCGCGCTTCATAATAGGGGTCTCCGTTACGGTACATGAAGACATTCTTTACTACGGGCTGCGACAGAAAGTTTGGCTTGTCGGTATTCATCGCTGGTGGTCAAGCCCTGGTTAATTGTTCACCAATTGCGCGGATCTGGCGGTGGTGCACACTGCCCATTCTAATACTAACGCATTTTTTCCTCCAGTGATGATTCATAAACCCATAAACCATGTGAATCACAAACTAGATGCGGGACTCTGAAGCTGCGCCTGTGCAGAGTTGAGCGCACCGCAGTCCATAGAATGCGCACAGGGCATGTGGCACGGGCTGCCCTGGCGCGGGTTATCATGGGATCAAAACTGTTGGGATGTATCTATGGCAACCCAGTCAAGAGCCGTACACCTGCAGATGTCGTGAACAACGTGCAGATGAATCAGAAGCATTTCAGTCGGACTGGACACATTATAACCATTGTAACACACGCCCGCTTTTCAATGACATGCGGGCAAGTAGCTGCTATAGTTTTAAACGTATTCCTGAATCAGCAGTGTGCATGGACAATTAAAACTACTACACCCGTGAGGCAGAGGAAAATAGGGTGTCAAGGGGCAGTTAGCATCCATAGGACAAAAAACATGTTTGCCTACAGTACAAACATGTGAGAGTGGACACATCGGCAGATTATATTTCATGGCCTAATAATAATAATAATAATAATAATAATAACAATAATAATAATACATGTAATACATTTTAATAAACTAGCCTAAACTCTTGTTTCAAATCATACTCAAACAAATGACAATATAAGGGAAGGCAAATATACATATAGCCTCAGCCTACACCTTTTCAGTCTCTCTGCTGTAACGACTGTTCTGTAATGGTGTGTATACATGTGCAAGTGAGTGAAAAAGGGAGAAAAAAAAGTAATAAAATGTACTTAATTAATTAAAGCGATCTCAAATAGGGTCAACATTGACTGCACAACTTCAATAACTTGTCTGCCCTCGGACACAGTGACTGCTGCGACATAGCCACGCCTAAAACTTAAATCTACTTTTTCACGTAAATATAGGCTACACCCCGATCCATGGCTACACCTCAGATCATGTGTCTGCGCTCTAACAACAGGATCAAATGCCAACATTTGCATAATAAAAGACATTTAAACTGACATTTCAAACCTGCATGTGCTTTTGACGCCACAAGATGGCGGTCTCTGCTTTATGTATTTGAGTCTCCACTCACAACCAGCATTTTGTTTAGTAATGTGGCAGTTTCTCATGTGTCGCCATTCTCTCATACGTTTACTATGATATTTAGGGTTCTAATTACAAATTCAAACCCTGATGCTTTGGTGAAACTTTTGTTTGACAGAGGGTTCTGATGTTTACATGAAATTGTCAAAATAAACTATTCAAAACCATGCAGTACTTTAGGACTGATATTGTTTTTTTGTTTTTCTTCTTGACCATGTAATGTGTCTCCTGCCTTTGTTGGTTCCTAAAATGTAATGGAATATACTTTAATTTGTGCGGCTCCTTCTGCTTCAGCGTCATCAAGACAAGAAATTATCCCTAATTGCCTTGCTCTTCTGGATGTGAAGGGACAGTCATTATTCCTGCAGCTCAAAGATTTCTTTCCTTTTCTATATTTCAACAAGAAAAGCTGAAACAGACACACATCATCATGTAATCTATCTATTATTTCAAATTTACATTTTTGTTCAATTGTGCCAATTCCCTATAGCTTGTAGTTATTTGTAATTCAGTCGAATGATGTGGGATTTTGTGCTTGGTCAAGGCTGAAATTGTCAGAAGTGAAAATAGTGACGCATCGTGTCCTTAAAACTGCATTTATTTCGGTTTGTTCCATTAGGTTATTACAGAGCAGACAACAAGGCACATCACAATATTTATTCTGCGGTGTGCATTGTGCAGTCACAGTATTATAAAGACTTGTTGAGAGGAGAATTGCTCCTTAAATGTTACTGCAGTAATTATTGGCTTTGAGATGTGCTTTGACTCAAGCCTTCCTGTAATAAACATTTCAGGGTCATGCTGAACCCTTTTCAAAGGACGAAGTCATTATATTCTACTAGCATTACAGCCTAGCCGTTTACGTTCCTTAATATATACAAAAACATTAAATTAATATATATTATACAGATATATATAATGACTCTAATTTATTATCTTTGACAGTACAAAACAGCAGAATACAGTCGGATTCACCACAAGGCACAGAACAGCAGCACAGGCGTACAGTTTGGACAGATCAACCCGTGTTGCACAGGGTCAAGAGAGACTGACTTTCTGCAATTGTTTTATACATCATTTTAAACATGGAAAAGAAACCTTACATATTCATCTGAAAACTGTAAGGCTAGTATACGCGTCACTTTCACACCAACACTTAGAATGTATTTCATTTATGTTACAGTACAGTACAATACAAGCCCTCTACATAACATTTACATACAGATATAGACAATAAATGACTTTATTAATACAATAGACCCTACAGTATAGATCTGCAGCTTAATAAAAGTCCATAAAACAGTCTTAAAATATGTGTAATATGTAAACTGATCAATTTTAAGTTTTATGCTTACTGGAGGCAAGACAGTCTTACAGTCAAATGGCATCTCCATAAATAAAATATTGTAGAATTTAACACAAAAATAAATATCTGAATAGTCCCTTTGGCAAACATAATTTTATGATTTAGGCAGTTTAGAATATGAATTATTTATGCAAAAAAAACGCCTGCCTTACAAGCAGCATTCACCATTCACAGTCTGCTATCGTACTTCCAATCATTATAATATCAATTTCCAATATATAAATTAGGTTACTCCCCTCCCATGTTGGTAGAATACTTTGACTTAAACAAAAAATAAACATAATTAGCAGCATTAATTTCTACTCTCAAGTCTACACTCACTGGTAACATAACACTCAAAGTATTGGCACTTTAAAACATCCCTAGCTCTTTCTGACTGAAACGGCTCTCGGGTCTTGTTATCCGGTGAACACATTCTTATACATCCTTCTATTTCTCTTTCAGATAAGCTGACCATGTCTCTGTGAGCAGTCTTTAGATCACTAACCAGTGATGCAACTGAGGACAAGAAAAATACATAAATAAATAGGCTTATAAATATACTTCACTTGATAAAATAGGATGCGAATCATACCGTGAACTGTCGAACTTCTCCACTGTCGACTAAATGATGCTCGGTCTCAGGGGTGATAGCATAAGCCAGTCTCTGTCAACACAAAACGGCACATACAGTACAGAATCTACAAAGAGCACTGATTTAGTTCCCCTGGTGCGTCCACACCTTAGGACTGGACGAACCTTGGGAGTGTTAGTCCACTCCTAAGGGGGAGGCAAACTCAGGCTTCCCTATAGTTTATACTGTAAATTGAGATGATAATAGAATGTTCTTACATTGCAAAATCTTCCAGGCAGTGAGCAAATCTTGTAGATGGCATAGAGAGGCACCATTGCCATTGATGACATAGCCAGACACCAGCCAACCATGTTAGCCCATGGAGGAAATGTGTAAGAGCCATAGTTGGGGGGGTTGAATGTGGCAAAACTCACCACCACCATAAACTACAAAAGTAATTTATATACAGTAAGTATGTAATGTGTACAATATGGTTATACATCTGTTTTCTTTATGAAGTCTTGTGTGACTTACCAAAAGAAAACAGGGACTGACAAATTTCCAGCACAGCCGCCAGTACCAGCCTGGGCGCTGTCCGATCATCTCCTCGATGTCATCACTGAATCGATCCACTCCTGAAATGCACAACATAATAGTTAATTTCTGTAAATGGGCCAGATATGACCAAGAGGATTATCCATAGTCCCACGACACGGTGGTAAAATCTGCCTAAACATAGAAAACATATATCTCCCTGTTTCAAGTTTTCCACTATATTCCCCAAACCCACAAATTTACATACCACTGGACCAAACGACAATAGGTCTAAGGTCTTAAAACATTTGAACGCTCAACATCATTTGTGTTTCCCATAAATCTGCAAAAGGGTATTTGTATTTGTCTGACTTTTACTGCTCTTCCAGCCAATACAACAACTACTTCAGCTACATCTATGAATCTGGCTACATAAGGAACTTGGACCAGCCTGTGTCCTGGTGGATCATAGAACAAGTTGGGCTCCAGGATTTGTTCCCAGGTCCTGCTTCCTGAAATTCAAGACGCTGCGTTCGAGTAACATCACAACATTCAAAAGAGCCTATAATTCAAAACTATGGTTGAGGGCAGCTGAGTACAAAAGTCAGAGCTCTTGTCTTTGTTTTGAGCTTATTTTTCTTTCATTCATGGGCCTTTGCGACAGCGGCTCAGTTGGCAGAACAATGGCCTATGAGCCTGAAGGTCGTGGGTTCGAGCCCACCACAAGACTTTCTCCACCAACTCCCGCTGATGTCTGCTGTCGTTGTGTCCTTGGCAAGACACTTAACCTCTGGGAACACCAGCCACAGTGGGGCGGCTGTAAAGTGCTAAACTGCCGTTGTGTCCTGAACCAAGACACTTCACCCCCATTGCCTAGAATGAGGTGGTGTGTGTGAATGGTTGGTGGTGGTCGGAGGGGCCGTTGGCACATACTGGTTGCCTCGCTTCTGTCAGTGTGCCCCAGGGTAGCTGTGGCTACAGTAGTAGTTTATCACCACCGTGTATGGATTGAAGATATGGGCACTCAAAGACTCATCTGAAGCATCTTTGAGTGCCCAAAAAAGCGCTATATAAAACCGATGCATTATTATTATCCACAAACAAGCATGTCAAAGAGTTTCAGGATTCTTGAAAAACAAGCATCTTTTCCATAGAGATGAATTGGCACCTGACCTTCAGCTGAAATTCAAATCCAGACTAGAATATGAAAGCAACCTATTGCGATGTTGAATGCAATACACATTTTAAAGCTCTGAAACTTCAGTGTCTCGCAGCCAAGTAAAAGAACACAGCTTCACCAGGTTACGTGTCCCTGTCAGAATGTAAAGGTTGGGCATTGCCTTGGGCTTGATTTATCAGCTTTGCCAGGAGCAGGACCTTGAGAGTGGGACAAAATCTGAGCGACGCGCTCCGGTCCAGGTCAGTACTTTTACAGGTCTTCCTCCAGCATAGTGTCAATCTAATGCTTATTATATATTTAATACATTGAATTATTATTATTTTGTCTTACATTTGCTATAAAAAATCCACACACAGTATGGCACATAAAAAATGTTTCAAGACTTTTGAACCAACTCAAATGACACATGCTGCAATAGTTAAAAAGCGAAACAAATAAAGATCTGAATATCAGAGTTCACTGACAAACACATAAGAGAAAATCTAATACTGAATGTGGTTCTTTCATGTGCTGATAAGTCATCACTGTTTGGACCTGAGTGTCTGAGGCTCCCCTCAGGCCATTTCACGGAGCTCTTGTGAAAATGATGGATTTTCTTGTATCTAACAACACATGGCACCAGGCTCTGACCAACACAACCATTAGAGTGGACAGACCTGCTAAGCAGCAGTATCCTTATGACTAATAGAACTATGATGCCTTGAGGCACAAGAATCTATACCAACAGATTTCTCATCAGACCCTAATACAACATCAGCTTTTCTGACCATGAAATCATCACCTTTGCCTGACCGCCTCTGCCAGTCTTTCTTACCATAGAACCATGCAATGCCAATAGCTTCAATAAGCACTCCAAATAAAATCGATGTTCCTGCCGCATAGTGGTCCAGGAGTGTGAACACATACATGCCACCCTGAAAGACAAGCAGACAACATAGTTTAAGTGTAAGTCGAAACAAATGAATGATGTGTTATATGAAATGTATACTAACATTAGTCACACAGAACAGAGATATTAGGAATGTAGAGACCACAATGAAAAGAGTGAAGAGTTCCCTGTGCTTTTGCAGGCACTTGAATTCATCTATAAGTCCGGTAATTACAGACTCCATACCACCCATCTATAAGAATATACAGAGAAATGTAGTCATCATATCATACACATGATTAGATTCATTCCAGGTATCACAGTCACACTCTACAGCACTTATTAAGAGCAGTGATTTATATGGAGGGCATACTCACGGCACTGTCAATGCCGAGTGTTAATAACATAATGAAGAATATGACGGCCCAGACAGACGACCCCGGTAAAGTTGCTATGGCTTCTGGATAGATAACAAATACTAACCCAGCACCTACAATGGAAAATATGTGTTTCAGAGTTCATAACACTGAAATAGGTTTGATTGTCGTGACCGTACCATCTCGTGCAACATTGTCAAGGGACACATTGTGCTTTTTAGACAGGTAGCCGAGGAAGGAGAACACCACAAAACCAGAGAAGAAACTGGTCAATGAGTTAATTGAAGTGGTGATGATGGCATCTCTGTTGAAAAGGGAAAAATATAAATTTGTATTTCAGTCATCGGATTTGGCCCATTGTAATTGGTCAGATGATATTTTATTAAAATGCATATGATAAGAATATAGGTTGCGTAAATTCTAGTTATTAAGTAAACAAATGTTTTGCAAATGAGAAAAAAACAAAGTTTAGGTCTCTGCATATGACACAAAGCCTTATTTCCAGTCTTTACCTGTAGCAATTGTTGCTAAATTTGTTATAGCTGGAAAAGGCAATTAGCACACCAAACCCCACTCCCAGAGAAAAACAGATCTGGGTGGCAGCCTCAATCCAGACCTGAGGAGAAACAGAGCGACACTCGTGTGAAGCGGCAGACAAAAGGCACAGGAGAGGAAAAAGCCATTATTAGGGATAATTGCAGGAATTCATTCAATAGCCATAGATGAAAGACGCTTGTGAATACAGGGGTAATTTTGCAAATTACTGCTCCATGTGTCTATCTAATCTAATTCTCCAATTGGCCTGGTGCATCTATTGGTCTGTTTTTCAACCACCAAGATTTTTGCTCAAATATTTCAACAACTAATTTATAAATATTGTCAGATCATGCATTGCTATTTTGCTCATTTGCTATTTCCTGTGGGTAATCTTTCTTAAATTGTCCCTGAAGCTTACCTTAGGATCACAGAGTCTCAGAAAGTCCACGGAGAGGTAGGCCTTAATGCCATCGATAGCTCCAGGCAGAGTGACTCCGCGGAACAGCAGCACTGTCAGGACCACATAGGGCATGGTGGCTGTGATCCACACAACCTGAAAGCACACACACAGTCGGAATAACCACAACACATGGTATACAACGCAAAATCAACTTGCTGGATATATTTCATTTCAGAAGGGTCTCGATGATTACCTTTCCAGAAGTCTTAACTCCTTTCCACAAACTGAAGTAGAGCAGAATAATGACCACAGCCAAACAAGAGGTCAACTGCCATCGTGGACGCCCAAGATTGCCAATACCGCTACTGTCCTGGATGTGCAGCACGCCTCGTCTAGAAAACACAGTCATACACATTATTGGGACCAGCACAAGTTGTGTGTAAAATTGTGGGTTTCATTTTCTAGTTAAAGGGGTACATTTTAGTCCCCTTAACATTGAAGTGATTCATGATGTGCACATGTGTAAATGAAAATATTTTCTATTACAATACAATACAATACAATACAATTTATTCTTGTATAGCCCTAGGTCACAACAGAAGTCATCTCAGAGGACTTAACAAAACCATTGAAATCACCAACACAGGTCAGAGAATCAACAGTTAAAACACATGAAGAATATAAAGCACACACAGAAGAAAATGTCCATACATGTTGTAGAATGCTAAAGTGTCCTGATCATCACCAATCCTTTCTGTTGGATACTAACTGTCCAACAAGACCCTCCTGCATCGACAAGGAAAAACTCTTAAAAAACCCAGTGGGAAAAAGTGAGAAACCTTGGAGGAGAACTAGGGAAACCCACAGGGAGGGAGACCCATATGAGAAAGGGATCCGCTCCTCAGGACGGACAGGCTAATGATCTAGGACCTAAGCTAGCTACAGAACGTGGACCAGTGGACGCTGAACGTGGACAGGTCCGGTGCATTCAATTTACTATTCAATTTACATATTGGGATTTAGTTTCTAAAAATGAACAAAGGAGTTGTTCATTTGGCATGTAGCTTTTTGTCATGTAGGTTAATCATATTTTTGTGTGTGTGAGCAACAGGAAAGTTTGTCAGGTTTCTTTCCAGTGTCTGAAACAAATGTAGTCTGATGCTGACAGTTTTGGTAAAAGCTCCGCATTGAAGTCAGGCCATCTCCCAGGAGTAGCAGAGTAACCCCCAATTCATTTATTTACACCAGAGGTACTCATTCTATACTTTTTCCTGTCTTCCACACACTGTTAAGTCAGGATACACAACAATGACGAGTAAAAGTTAAAACTCTGTTCTATTAGTATCGCACGACTTCCCTATGCAAGTGCACTTCCTCCAGCTCATTCAGGGGAATCCTGTGGCGTTCCCAAGCCAGCTGAGAGACATACGGTCTAAAGGTCCAAGGTGTCCTGGGGCTTCCCTGGGTCTCCTCCCAGTGGGAACCCCTCACTTAAGCACCCAGGAGGCACCGCCGCTGGCTCTTTTGGCATGGAGCAGCGACTCTACTCCAAGCTCCTCCTATATGTGACTGAGCTCCTCGCCCTACCTCTATGCCAAGCCATTTTGTGTGGAGAGAACTCATTTGGACTTCTTATATCTGCAATCTTGTCCTTTCGTGCATTATCTGAAGTTCATGTCCATAGGTGAGGGAGGTGATGTAGAGTGACGGCTAAATGAAGAGCTTTGCCTTTTGACTCAGCTCATTCTTCACCACAACAGTCACTGAACACACCATACAATTGGAGAGTGAAACCCCCTCCTCACTTATTCCTCTCGTGAGTTCTGTAGGCATCAGTTACTTACGATTTAGTTGAACTGTGAATGGATTATCATGAACTCACTCAAAGTATTCCTGAGCAGGGGTGGACTTGAGGCTGTCATTGATGGTGCTGTTGTCGGCCCAGTCAGCACAGTAGACACTGTTCCAGCTGTTGTTGCAGTGGACCCAGGGAAGCTCCCCAGTGAAGGAGGAGAAGAGGTAGTACAGCGCCCATGAGATGATGACGTTATAGTAAAAGCCCACGTACAAGGAGATGAGGATCACAGTGAATCCAACTCCTGTGGAAAAGCACAGCACAACGTACTCACTAAAGCAGTGCAACATTTCCATACTGAGACTCAAACATTGAATTGTTTTCATCCAAATTCTGTTTGTTCAGAAATTGAAGGATTAACAGATCTATGATACTAAATGTCTGTTTGATGTTAAAAATGTTTGTCTGAGTGACAAATATTACAAATCAACACTGTGTTTGACATTTTGACATACTTCCCAGCCCTATTGTATAAACTGTATTACAGGAGATGGTAAGCTCATGACAACACATACAAAAGTGATAATATAAAGTCTGGCCTTAAGTAATGTTTCCAGATCTTAAAAGGTCCATTTCATGCCTGAATTGTCTGTCCATCTACCCTTTCCAGACATCCAAACACTGACTGCTCTTCTAAGGCTGAATATAATTGTTGACCTTTGCAAAGGGCCATGATACAACTGGGGCTTATTGATCTTTTTGTAATGTGGATGTGATATTTGTACAACACCTCTTCTCTTCTATTAGCACCACATGTGGCCATGTTCCTCCTCTTGTGCCAACTCCCTCCTCAATCCCTTTCTTCAGATGCATTGATCCTAGGAGGAACCCAGCTTTGTTGATCAGAATAATCACTGTCAATATGAGCATGTGTATGCTTGTGTTTCAATAATTACTGTAATTCGGCCATTGAGTGACAGTGACACACATGTGATTAGGACATCAGCAGAGGACTGATGGACAGCACACGTTCTCACTCTACAGAGAAGAGCGCTTCAGAACAGCCACAACAAAACACTTTCACCACACGTGCATTTTACAGATTTGGAATAGCACTAGAAAAAGTATTTGTTTTTAAAAGTAAGGTTACAAGGAAGGGCCAGGAGTCAGTACAAATGTAAGGTAGACTTACAGTTTTCGTAGTAGCATCCAAAATCCAAAATACACAAATGCTGAACCACATTTATATTATTAGTGATTGACTCTACAAACTATACACAGTATTTGTAAAACTAAAACCAATAATAATAATGATAAATACATTTAAAAAAAAAAACATATTTTTGTTTTAGTGAATACATTAACATTACGAGTTTCAAGTTATGTATATGGAACAAAAAGTTGAATCTCATGTTGTCTTCTTCGGTGTGCTTATTGAGGTGAAAAGTACGGACAAGTCAGCCAGCGTTACCTGCCACCGTGTGTCATAAAAAAAAGCACAATCAGTCTTAAAAGCCCAATTTTCATGTGCTTTCCATTTGAGTGCCAACTCAACCTGATGCTCTGGGAGATAAACAATGGCTGTCGCTGGTGAGAAGACAAAAGAGACTGGCATGTGGACAGCGTGGGCAGACGAGCAGACACGTGGGCATTAGAGGGAGGACGTTAGCCAGCATGACAGGCTAACAGGCACCAAAGTAACGCCATCCAAACACCAATCATGCCCATTTACGGATACTTTCTTATCACTTATCAGAATACTAAAGACCATCAATGCCAATCCCTGAAAAATATCAATTGAAAAATATCAAATGATCATTAGTATACTGAAGTAAGTCCGAGTTCTTATGGTTTTTTTGACACATTTTGAAATTCAATTTAGTTGGCATTACTATTCTGTTAATCTGAATGTTGATTGAAGAGACTTGAAGTCTTTCTGTACTGTAGTTGAGTGGGTAGGACACATATCGTACTGTATGATATATTACATGTAATTACCTACCTTTAAATATGGGGCAGATCTTCCAGACCCCTGCAGCGCCCTCTCGGTTGTACTGGCCCAGTGCCAGCTCCATGTAGAAGAGAGGCATGCCTGCTATCACCATGAAGAACATATATGGCACAAGGAACGCACCTGCAGACAACACAGCCCACTTATGGATTTTCAAACGGTAAGAATGATGTTGTCTAATTCTCCACAGCAGAAAGAACATTTTGAGAAAGGCTACGTATCATTTACAGCTCTTAAAAGCAGAGGCCACTTTATGTTAAATAGCCATAATTACTGGCACTAATTCTAAGCACTAATCAATTCACAGCAGCTGTGGTGGGGTTTTGTGCACTTTTCATCTTTAAAGGGTCAGGGAAATACAGGACCGTGAGTTTGAAACAAGACATGCTTGTTATGTGTAAACAGTAGTCTGTAATTACAATTTTTAACACTGCTAACTTTTGAGGCCTTACCTCCTCCGTTTTTATAGCAGAGGTAAGGAAATCTCCATACATTGGCGAGATCGACGGCAAATCCAATTACAGAGAGAAGAAAGTCAATTTTCTTTCCCCAAGTCTCCCGCTCTTCTTCGCCTCTGGGATGTGTCTGAGGAGGAGCTGCACCGACCAAAGTGCTTGACGTGAACTGAACTCCATTTTGTTCCTTCACGAGAATCAGCTCCACCTGTGAGATGCAATTAGACATAAAAGACCTCCCAGGAAAATGTAAAACATTAGTGACCAACAGAAAATGGGTTATTTGGGTCAGATATTATGATGGCAAGACAAATGTTCATTATAGCCATTGCAAATCATTCTCAAACCTCTTTTGGTCCCATGAAGTTGGAGGAGGGTTTTTCTGGAGCTACGACAGATGACATTTTGACAAGATATTTTGTCAAGATATTTTGTGCGTTGTCAAGGACGACGATGAGGAGCTGTTTGAATACCCAACCCAAACTACATTTCAAAGAAGAAAACAAGTACAAAGACAATTCTTATTATTCCATATGACACAATTTTGCTGGTCTGTTTTGACTTTTGTCATTTTACAATAATTTAGATCTGAGGTTACATTACTGCCATTTAAAAGGCGTGTAAAAATCCCATGCAGTGAATGCATGTTTACAACATGAAGTCTAATACGTTTCATTTAAAGTGTATTATTTATCATTATTTTGCGAGACGCATTAACACTGGAGCATTTTCTGATTTCAAAATCCAATTATGAAAAAAATATAATTATAAAACAACTACAATACAACAACACAAATTAAGAAACAAATGAAAAATTAAGTCACTTACCTACTAGAACTGGAAAAAGTTCACTTTAGAAAAGATATTTCCTACTGGACTGAATTTCCCTGGGGCACTGACTTTGGAGTCTGACCATATTTGAGCGGTTTTGTTCTGGAGAAGTTATTTTAAAGAAGAAAAAACAAAGTGGAGGAGGGATCTGTCTGGGGATGACAGAAAGCTGTAGCCTGGTGTGAGGTGGCTCCCAGGATGTGTCTGAAGGACCACTGTTGAAATATGAGCCACGATCAACAGCAGCACACCCCCTGACACAGACTTCACTCTCCTCCCTCTCCTCTCATCTTTCCTCCCCCTTCATACTCCACATGCACTACACTGGACTTAGTGACACATTGGCAGAACTTACATGTATAGTAAATGTATGCAACTAAAACCACGTCATACATTAAAATAAAAATAATTCATAATAATAACATTACGGTAAACACCTTCCATACTATAAGTTTGTTAGCCCTTTAGGTGCCAGGGCTTTTTCGAATATTTGATGTGAAACAGACAAAAAGGTGGAGTCCTGAAACCAAGACACAAAACATTACTAAAATCAATAAGATAAATAAAATAAAATACATCGTGTGTGAGGTGTCGTTGCTGAAAGTGCTCATGAATGTGTATAGAATGTGATCATGATGTTTTGGCGATTCAAGGGTTCACATGAAGTCTGTTTGTGGATAAGACAGCAAAGTTAGAGAAATCACAAGAGCCTAATGAGAGCAGCCAATTATCCTGTCTATTAATGCCTGACCGCAGATGACAGCAGGCGCCGCTTATTTTTCATGTTTTAAGTTATTATCCAAGTTTTAGCCACACCAAAACTAACTTGAAGCTTCTCAAACAGCTGAACAATGCACAAAACTTACTTGAACCCTAAAACTACTAGTCAAAACATTCCTGCAACTCGAACACGTGGAATCACAGTGCTCGCGTATTTTGCGTGTTTTACTGAGGCGCACAAAAACACAGCTACATTTTCAAATCCCACTCAAAGTAAATAACGTAATCAGGCGTCTCCCCACGGACGCATTACGCCGTTTGCCAATCATATGATCAATTGTCCATTAATGCTGGAAGGTGCGCCTAAAGAGCGGAGAGCGCGCGTCCGGGGCGCAGCAGAAATCGTTGTGTCGAAGTTGCTCGGGTGGATATGAGTTTTCCAATGGCCCGAGACAGAGACAAGGACGACATAATCGAGTGTTATTGTTTTCATAAACGCAACAGCTGTGGCCCAGACAGTAAAAGGCAAAGGGTGACGATCCTTTTCAATGTTACCGATGGTGCGTGTGGCAGACAGGATCATTGACACGCATTACGCACTGATCATAGGCCTAATGACACATTTGAAGAAGTTCATGTATAGGATGTGGTGTTCTAATGTCGATTCTGAAAATGTTACGGGGCATTTCCATCTAATGAACACAATTATTTTCATATGTTGACCTCCACTTGAAAGCCATTTTCTTCAAAGAAAAAAATTCCATCGTTTTTTAACCCAAAACAAATTACTACCATGGTTAAAACAATTATTGGTCTTAACTTTGCTCCAGTTGTAGGCTACTCATTTTGTTCAAAAACAATACCAGAAACTTGAACCTCAGTCAAGTTTTTTTTTTTTAATGTTACATTTTTCTTGGAACAGATGTGCGGTGTCGTCTATTTTGCAGAAACTCACTGTGGCCTAGAACTACCCGAGTTCTGCTCCCTGATGTTCACATTCAAATTATGGACTTACTGGAAGTCATGCCTTTATTTACTGTACAGTAGCTGTAATGTTCTTTATGTACATTCTTTTCAATATGCAATATACTGTATATATAAACGCTATTTCAAGTTATTTTAACTATGGACCCTATTGTATTGTGTCCTTAAAGTAATTTTCCTTTACACAAAAGTTAATAGCCAACAACAGGCATTATCACATATAGCCTACATTTAAATCATAAATCATGAAACAAAACACAACCAATTAAACAAACATTGTTAATCATTTTATTTTTTGAGTCACATTGACAAGTTTTCATAGCAGTCCATTTTAGACAATATTCATAGCATCTTGCAATATTGACTCTTCATCGAAAATGCAATATTAAAATAAAACCTAAGTGTAGAAAAATAAACTAAAGCTGCAGACTGCAGAGAAACAGACACCAGTGAAAGCCATAATCAGCCATCAGAGAGACATCACTCTGGCCGAGTACACAAGTCTCTCATCTTAGGCTCACAGCTGGATCCACTGGAATAAACAGGCAGCAGTAGCATAATTATCTTTGTCTTGTTGCAAAATTTACATTTTCCATAAAAAAAACCCCCCAACAGCTTTACCTCCTACGTGGTAGCTGAAATAAAAGTAAAACAAAAGTTTAATAGCCCAACGAATCCCACTGGGCAACCCCATAGTTTACAAAACCTCTAGGAGGCATTTGACACACAGGTGTAGATAAAATTCACAGTCAGTTTTTGCCCAAAGAACTTCCACCATATGACGTCCGTGTATAGCCACTTCAGTCACCATGCAATTGCAGTCAGTTAATATTTCTACATTAATAGTTGCTACACTTTTCTATTCATTTCCATTTGTGATAAACATGTGAATATATCATGTTATTAAAACATACATAAAAATACTGTAACAAATGTTTCGAGCATGTTATACAGCAATGAACATAACCTAAAGTGCAAGCAGAATACAAACACAGAAAATGGGAAGGGGCCGTTTTCAAAACCATTGAATGATGCCGTGTGCAGCCTGTCATAGCGACTGCCACTTTGAGGCTCAAATCTCAGTCCCACCTGCACTGTAACAGTGGTCTAGTGTACAACAGTCTCCCAACAAGTTTCTGACAAGATTGTCTATACATTCTATTTTGGAAAAACACCACTTTCGATTGGAATCAATAATAAATGAGGTTCAGTTTAACTATCAAAAGATCATAGATCTGTGACCTGGCAGTGAAAATAAAATCCACTCTATAGCCTCCAAAAATTCACAAAATGTCCAGCATTTGGAACGTTTGACAGCTAGGTATACGTGGAAATGCTTGATGTGCTGATTGCAAAGTTAAAAATTAAAAAAGTAAATATTGAGTACTGGAGTCTGAATCCATAACCGACTTGCGGTCACATTTCTTCATTAACAAAGAGAATACTTTTCTCTTTTACCTCCTGCATATTGATGTGTCTCATGGAAATACAGCATTGAGTAAATAGACATTTTCTACATTAAAGTTACATTTTTGGAGGATATCTACAGGACCCTACAGCCTCAGTAAAAGTAATTTAGTGTTTAAAATGCATTCAGTTTGGAAAACTTAAAGTTGTTTTAGATGCATCGTGTCATGGATTTTAAAGTAGAAAGAAAATCAACTGATACCAAACAGACCCAGAAACTGCGCTTTCACTGAATAAAAGTGGCAGTGTGATGAAAGGTAAAATGTAATGAGTTGATCAAATGGTTACACTTTAGAGCTACAGCTCTTGACACAAGATTATTCAAACAGTATTCATATCGTTATCGCTTAGGGAGTATTTGGTCCACAGAATGTATTTAACAGATAACACAAAACTATGAGGAATGTTCAGAAAGAACTGGAGTGTGAAAAATACTAGTCCCTGTTCCTGTCAAAGTGATGACATCATATAGATTATATACTATTTTGAGTTGCTGAACCCTGAGCAAAATTAATATATGCGCTTATAAATACATTAACAGGCTCACAACAAATGTTGATAAAAAAAATTAGACATGAGTCACCTCAAATCTACCAGATGAAACTGCTGGCTTCAAGAGGCAAGAATTATCACGGGTGTCTCAATATTGAAATAGATTTGTCAAAAACGCTCAGATCAATGAGCTCATGCATTCTGCACTTTAAGGTCACAAAGGCAGCTAAAAGATGAGTTTGAGAAATCTGAAAAAATACAAGCTGAAAGTCAGATACTGAACTCACCAAAAGCCTTCTCTGTCCAGGGCTGCTCCCTCTTCTCATGCACAATCATAAGTGTGAGGGCACACAGCATACACTTCTCAAGGGGTGTTTAAATGCTTGCCCTTAAGAAATTCACAATTTGTCCTTTGATTAGACAAAATAAAAGCTGTGTACTATTAACAAAAATAGCTTGTTGAAAAATAATTTTAAAAAATATACATACAGAATACTAATAAAACCACTGAAAAATTATCCCTTTCTGCTAAAACATGTAACCGCTGTAACACGTCACTCTCACCAGGAGAGCGCTTCTTGCTACTTCAACTTATTTTTCATTTAAAAATTAATTGTGTTTCTTGAGTCCATCTGTTTTGCCATCACTAAAATCTGGGCAGAAGAGGCCATTAGCGGCTTTGGTGGTGGCGATGCCAGGCAGGTTGAGACAGGCGAGGGAAGACAGACTCGGCTTCTTCTGGTGACAGGGCCCTCTCTGTAGCTGTGGGTTTACTACATACAAGTACTCCTCATCAAACTCTGGGTTCTCTTCCACAAAGCTTTTGAACGCGTCTGCAGAAAAGGAACACAAGAGGGCGCCAAACCTGAGAATTATGACAATCACCACCATTTGTGTTTGAAGCAAGTAATATGTTTACCATATGTGATTTTGCCCGTGTTTTTTGAATCGATGGAGGAGAACAGGCGTGACACACTCAGGTTGGACACGCCTAAAGCGGTCTTCAATATGACAGACAGCTCCACTTCTGTGACTGCCCCGTCGTTGTCTGACTCAAACAGCTGCACACATTAGATCCACATTGATCAAATCCGGGGTGTTAAGCATTAAAGTTAGGATTACGTAATTGCAGAGAAGATATTTAAAGTAAAAATCAAACCTTGAAAGCCAGTTTTAACGTTTCCATTGTTTTGGCGGGTCGGCAAGCAACAGACAGGGCTATTAGGTACTCTCTCACATCAATACAGTTGTCTTCATGCTGGGACACAACACAAGGATTAAGACAGGTATAAAAGTATACAGACTAAAGGGAGACAAGTTATCACAAATGTATTCTCTCATATCAATCAATTTTATAAAAAAATAAATCAAGATTCAACATACTTGTGCTCAAGCAATTGTGCATAATTTGGATAACATTGAGAAAGAGTACGAAGAGACATTCTGCTCATCCTTTGATAAGGTTTTCACCAGGAGAAATAAAAGCACATGATTCTAATGTTGATAATTGAGACTATTTTTTTCTACTTATTTTCTATACAGCCCTAGGAAAGTATGCAATCTTTGTATTTAAGAAATAAATGTCAATCTTGAACCTGTGTCCCAAGACACAATGTCGACATCTACGCATCATACTTTTCTGATAAACATGTTAATGCTTCTTATTCATATTCGTTATGAATTTGAATGTTAACATTCAAATTTCTTACACAATAATGTAGAATGACGCCAGCTGGTTTGGGTTCGATACTGCTCTAAATCACAGAAGCGGAGACCTCATTATTACAAGCCTTTGAAGTGTGGTTTGTATGCATTTGTTGTAACACTATACACCAGTAAATGCAACAACTTCATAGTGTTCCTTTAAATGTAGAAGCTCACACTTACCTCATCAAATAGAGCAAACATGTCTCGCAGCATGTCAGAGACTGACAAATCCAGAAACTTTGCAAACTGCTCCAGATTGAGTTTTTGACCATCCAGCTGCTTGGCTTTGTTTCCATACTCTTGTAGATCCTTCTCTGGGTTTTTGGATTTCAGCCTGGAATAAGAAGATTTTCAATAGTTAAAGCTGCACTAACTGACTTTATTTTCGTATTAATTACGAAAATGCTATCCATGTCCATGTAGTGCATTGGGATATACGTCCTTTTGAAGAAAAAGTAGTGCAGATTTGTGCTGGCCTGACATTATATTTTCGATCGAGTTTTGATGAAACAAGGAAGAGAATGTGTTTCGGGTCGCAGATTGTGACCAATCACAGCGCACCACTAGCCCCCACTTTTGTGAGAAATCTCCAGGTCCGTTTGCACAGACAGCTGAGTTAGAACAACAAGCGGCGGAGCTAACCTAAAACGTTCTCGTCTTCGTCACCGGGTACTGCTTACTTAGCAAAACAGCCATCCAAAAGAAAGTCTCGTTCCTCCGCGCTTCCCGGTTCTATCGTTCTATGGTCACGCCATCCACGTGAAAATCCATATACATGTATTATCCATATTGGGAGAGGCTAGCTCCGTCTCAACACTGTGTGTGTGTGGGGGGCGATAGCTTCGTGGGTGCGGGGAGGGGAGGAGAAAGAGCGAGGCCAGCGGGTCCGCGGCTTCAAAATCCCAAAGTCAGTTAGTGCAGCTTTAATGTCATCAAACCACATTCTAAGGCAGGGTTATAATAGAGGCAAAAATTGAAAGCAGTAAGGGCTGCTGTAACTTGTTTTACATAATTGAAATAAGTGACTAATTTGCTAACACATTGATCTGTATTTTAACCTGACCAATCAGAAGCTGTGTTAGGCAAATTAAAAAGGACTTTACACACTACAATAGAATTAATATACCAAGTGCAATTTGTGATTGAAATAAAAATCAGACCACAACCAGAGGGACATTTGGAGTTCATGGATTTATAAAAGAATGAGTCAGAGGCCAGATGAGTGTTGCTAGAACTTCTCCTTAACGTGGGCTTCTCATGGTTAATGTTTGTTTTGTTCTTGATGCAGCAGCAGGCATGTTGGCCAAACACAACATTAGACTCACGTTTTATTGGCATGTGCAGTTCATGCTGCGAGTTCTAGGGAGGAGAAAATAACTGTAGGAGAGAGACCTTTTGCGATTATAACCATGTTGAGTTTTTGTTTTGAGACTCGGCTCAGATCAATGCAGCAAGTAGTCAACTAAATATTAGAAGGATTTCTATGTAAACACAGAAAAATTACGTCTGGAGAAATTGTTATGCATGTTGTATGTAGGAGAAACAAAAACATTTAGTATTTAGTTTTAGTGAAGTGAAGAAATCTAGAACTGGTAAGTGGGTCTGATGCATTTAACCAAAATAGCTTTTGTCACACTCCATTTGTTGACAACCAAGACTTTTACTGGTTTCAGCTCTTAAAAAAATACTCACTTTAATCCCTGTGTGTGTTCGATCTGAACAATGCAGAGTCATAAGTGAAAACATTTTTTTTTTATTATTAATGAGATCTTATAAATTCCCAGGCCATGCCAGGGAAGTTCCAATTTCTTTAGTTTTTTTTTTAAACAGTGAATATTAAAAACCTGCCGTGCCCAATAACACAACTTTTAAACAACAAGCCTGGTGGGAAAGCAGAGATTTAAGTGGAATAACACGCAGTTTAGCAAGAATATAATGAGACTGGAAAAAGATATAACACGTCGTCATAGCAGCTGTAGAGCATAGACGAGTGGAGCCTGAAGACAAAGCTGTTTTGGGCAAAATGTGGTTCTAGTAAGTTTAACAAAACCCGAAACACACACCAGACAATGAGAAAGGAGGGCATCCGAAACTCAGGCTTGGTTATAAATAGTCACTTGAAATCTTGTTTTTAGAATCTTAACAGCATTTATAAACTGGATCCTGTTTTACTGAAAGAAAGTTTAAAATAAAAGGAATTACCATTTTATTTGAGTTTCCTATTCATTATAGAACTACTTTCCTTGCGTTAAATGAGGACAACAGTTGAATATTTTCCATTCAGGTGTTGATGGAGCATTTTATTTATTGCAGCGATCAATCCAGTGGTTATTTGTGTCTCTTACCCCAGCCTCCTGACAAGCTTGGCAAACTCCAACAGACAGGTGTCGACGGGAAGTCGGAGCTGGCCCTCCGCCATGGCCAGCTGGCAGTCTTCAAATGAGTAGTCCGTGATCGGGACCCCCAGGGCTCTAAGCGCAAGACAGACAACAGCACTAGATGAATGATGGAAGCACAGCATCTTCCATGTGTGCAAGTATGGAAACAGTCATACTTCAATGTAATTATCAACGGGTGTAATCAACAATGGCCTGACACATTTGATATACAATGCATTTCCTATTGGACATACTTTGCCATGATCCGTCTCACGTTAACAGCAAAGAGGGCTGGGTTATTTTTCTCCTCCTCCGATGGTGTGTAGATGGGAAGAAACTAAAAATAAAATGAAAATGTAAATAATCTCTCATAATCTCAAGAACTCTATAGTACTCTCAAATAACATTAGTCTGTCATTTGACAAAGTATTTAACAAGTAGTACTCAAAACCATGGATTGTGTAAGACAATCTTTACAGAAACAGGTGACTAGCGTACAGAAAAAAAGCCATGCAATATGACCAAGCTGATGACTACAGAAGGCTTGTTTTGGCTGTAAACCGTTGAAGGAGTAGACTAACAAAGTGCTGACCTCAGCCATAGTGTTTCAGCTTATTGCAGAAGAAGCCGATTAGCAATACTTCAAGTCACTGGAGTCATTTAGAAAAACATTGTGGTTTAAAAAAATAAAATATATATCCATGCACGACTCCCACAAAAAGGCATGATGGTAATAACACTTACCTCAATTTCAAATTCATTGTGAAGCTGGCAAAGGGTAAGCCAGAGAATTTTAAACCTGTTAAAAACACTTTGATTTACAACAAAGCCTTTCAAATTTGGCACAATAATAGTGACTCACTCCACCCCACATAAAATACACATGGATGGTAGGTAAAGGTGTGTGACATGCATTAAGACATCTACAATATGTGATGCGATCTGTGAAAACCCGTCTGATGTCGCGCTAGCACGTTCCGAGTAAACAGTGAAAATAGGTCGAGTGTCATTTTTTTGGCTAAATTGCGTTTTCATTAAATAATTATTATATAACGTCTTTTCTTTAATTTCTGAAAATATCTAGGTGAAATTTACTAGTTTTATACATTAAAATTGTGATAAGTTTTGATAAACCGAACGTTACGTTACATCCTCCGCTCTGACCCCGGGAGCAGCTGCGGCCGCTTTGTGACACCCGCTGTGACAGCTCAGTGAACGCACTGCTGTAACGGGGCTCCGAGCGCGGACCATAGACACGCGAACAGGACCATAACCATGCGAACAGGACCATAAACACGTGAACAGGACCATAGACACACGCGGACAGAACCCATAGACACGCAAACAGGTCCATAGACACGCGAACAGGACCATAGACACGCGAACAGGTCCATAGACACGCGAACAGGTCCATAGACACGCGAACAGGACAATAGACACGCGAACAGGTCCATAGACACGTGAACAGGACCATAGACACGTGAACAGGTCCATAGACACGTGAACAGGACCATAGACACGTGAACAGGACCATAGACACGCGAACAGGTCCATAGACACGCGAACAGGTCCATAGACACGCGAACAGGTCCATAGACACGTGAACAGGACCATAGACACGTGAACAGGACCATAGACACGCGAACAGGACCATAGACACGTGAACAGGACCATAGACACGTGAACAGGACCATAGACACACGCGGACAGAACCCATAGACACGCGAACAGGTCCATACGCGGATCATAGACACGCGGACCATAGACACTCTTCTGACAGGACCATACGCGGACAGAACCATTGACACGCGTTCAGACAATCCCCAGCTTGTTTCAAGTGCAGGTCTCCCCCGTGTCTCCTATGCGCTCACGAAATTAAAGCTCGGTACCCAATTTTCTTCTTGCATTAAAAATGCTTGGTGGTTGTGGATATTTATACTGCATGATTGGATAGAATAATACTGGCTTTGTCTAATACATATATAATGTTCAGTAACTTATGAAGAGAAAGAAACTAAAAAAGAAGAGTTAGAAAAGTTTTGTAAAACAAATTAAATTAATTGAATTTTGAACTTCCATCTAATTCATGAGTGTTGTGTGTTTAATTGGTGCCAAAGTAAAATTTTTTATCTTTTAGAACATAGTGACTAAAATAAGTGTGTGCCATAACAGAGTAATTCAAATTTAACATGTTAAATTTGATTGTGGTGATTCTATTTAGAATGTGTCTTTAAACCTGTTTTTCTCAGAATTCTGTTTCATAAAACCATGTGAATTCTCTGACTTCAGATAATGATAACTTTTGTTACAGACAGATTTGAAAAGAGATTGAAAGCAGCTTTAAGATGGTGTCAGAATCTTAAATTGGTCAAATTTCACCATGTGATGGGTTTTCCCAGATTGCATCACATATCATTGCCACTATTTGCAAAAACAAGTCCATAAATATACTTACGCTCCAGGTCCTTGCCAAGTCCATGTGATCGTGTCCTGTTAACAAAGAATGCATTGAGGATGCATGAATATGATAAATTAATTTAAGGCCATAAGAATTACAATCATATGCTCACCAATTTATTTGGATATCGAATAACTACGGGCTGTACAGGGACAGCTGGAATGAATGCACCTGACAAAAAGACAATATTAACATGACAAAGATTAAAAAGTAAAGTTTGCTAACGTGACTTGGTACCTGGCTTGAAGGTAATCAAGCAGGATCTGTTTGTGCAAGTTCCCTCAGGAAAAATCATTATCTGTAAAAACACAAGTTGTAAGTAAAGGTGTTGCAAGATATGTTATTAGGTACTTTCACACAGACCAAAAACAAGGGGTATTACGACCTTTCCATTCACACTGACATTTGAACTCGACTTTCAACTCTCCTAGTCTTTTTGCCAAGTGGTCTCCAGTGGAAACACAGCAGCCAAAGATAGCAGTAATTTAGACAAGCTAAATTATCAATAGGATCGTTGTTTAACTTTCCTTGAATAGAAATGTATTGCAGGGATTAAATATGTACTGGGCGTGATTTGTTTTTAGAAACATTTAGAAACAACACAAGAAAATATAAATATTGATCATATTACAACTTTGTGGCTATGAAATTAATTTGCGCATTCGCTGCGTGCTCCTGACATGCATGGGCCGCTGAAGGTCCACACTGTTCGTATTCGCTTTTACAGTCAAGTTCGGGTATTCTGAAGGAGGTTCTCATTCAAAATCTCACACAAACACGTGTGTGAGATTTTGAATGAAAATCTCCTCCCATTAGCAAAGGCATTGAAGATGAAATGTGGCTGGGTCTTCCAGCATGACAATGATCCTAAACAAACCGCCCGGACAAAGAAGGAGTGGTTTTATAAGAACCATTTCAAGGTCCTGGAGTGGCCTCCAGGACCTTGACATTGTCAGTATCCATATCTCAATCCCGTAGAAAACCTTTGGAGGGAGTTGAAAGTCTGTGATGCCCACTGACTGCCCTAAAACATCCTTGCTCTACAGGAGATCTGCATGGAGGAATGGGCCAAAATACCAGCAACAGTGTGTGAAAACCTTGCAAAGTCTTATAGAAAACGTTTGAGCTTTGTCATTGAGGAGGCTGAGGTCCTTCGGAGTGAGCAGGCCTCTGCTCAGGACTTTTTATGACTCTGTGGTAGCCTCAGCCATACATTACGCTGTCATGTGCTGGGTCCCGGGCAGCACAGAGCGGGACAGGAGTAGACCGAACAAGCTGGTCAGGAGGGCCAGCTCCACACTGGGCTGCTCCCTGGACTCTGGAGGAGGTGAGGGACAGGAGGGTGCTAGTCAAAGCCACCTCCCACCCACTGCACAGGACTGTAGAGGAGCTGTGGAGCTCCTTCAGTGGAAAACTGAAGCACCCTCAGTGTAAGTAGGAGCGCTACCGCAGGACCTTTATCGCCACCGCTGTCACACTGTACAACAAGTCACTAAGTCACTGCGCTATGACTGAAAAGAAACCTGCACTACTATTGACACTTCTTTCTAATCGCCACTTTTTTTGTACATAATATATCCTGCATTAACATGCTGCACATTTCGTACTATTGCACAATTCTTGTGTTCCTATCCTTGCCAATGTGACATGTACATTTCTCCAGTGTGAGATTAATAAAGTCTTATCTTATTGCCAACAAAGGGTATATGACAAAATATAGAGATGAACTTTTGTTATTGACCAAATACTTATTTTCCACCATAATTTGCAAATAAATTCTTACAAAAATAAAATAAAAATTAGACAATGGTTGTTTAGGATTATTTTTTTCATTCAGTCTCTCATAGTTGTGGTATACTTACGATGAAAATTACAGGACTCCCTCATCTTTAAGTGGGAGAGCTAGCACAATCGGTGGCTGACTAAATACCGTTTTTTTGCCCCACTGTATGGCGCCGCGATAAACACCTCCTCAAAATTGGTCTGCAGAGTGAAAATGGCTATCGCTCTCTTTTCATGTACCTGTGGCCAGTCACCTCCAGAATGGGCTCTGCGCTTTATCTCTTCGACGGTCCTCTTTCTTGAGTTTTGGTCAGTTCTTGAAACAAACACTGGCCGGATGAACTTTATTAATGCTGGAGGTACAGACAAAAACAGAACATGTAATTTAAATGAGCAGTAAATAGCAAAACAGAAAAAATTATTAGCCATGAATGAGACGAGATTAAAAGGAGGATTAAAGTTCTCCCAGACACACTTCACATGTCATTGTGGCTGATGATGAAAACAACATTTGTGATATGAAGAGATCCTGAGAATATAACGTTGCATACAGAAGATTGTGTAAGAGTGTAAGAAACCCTCAAACATAGAAATCAATTCAAGCATTTACTCTACTTTTGAAGACATGCAATAATGATTGCCGAGATAGATTTTATGATCCATTGACATTATCAATATTAAGTTACACTGGAGGCTTCACTGATCTACACAGCAAGATCTGCAACACAAAGGTATAACTAAATACTCCACCAGCCACAGTGTAGTCAGTGGATTAAGTTTATGAGTCATCAAAAAACATTGTAAATCATGTTGACAGAGACACATCAGTTTTAAAGGAGGAGTAGTTTTGTATACATTCAGATGCAGCCTCTGATGACCTGACAACTGCCTCAACCAGCAGCCTCCACGCCGCAGTGAATTTTTTTTCCCCAAGACAAAAAGGTTCAGCTACAAGTTTTATGAATTATGACATTAGCAAATAGGGAAGAGCTCTGTGAAAACGCACAAGGCTGAAGCGACGGGAAGATGCGTTGGAGGCTGACCGCAGAGACAACTGCTACTTGTGCTTGGATGCGGGACGCCTATTTTTAGAGACTTGCGACTCGGACTCGTCCCTTAAAGACTGACTTGACTCGGACTCGTTGTTTTTGGACTTGTGAACATTGCGAGTCCTGACGCTCCTGATGGCTGACCGCGCGCTCTTTGACTGTCCGCATCAGTGCATCAGTTGTGTCTGAGCTGTGAGCCGCTCTGTCAACGCAGCAGCGCACTGCCTTAACGTGTCATCATGTTCCCAGGACCATCCACGCGCACAGGACCATTCTCTGTTGTGTGTGTGTCTTTATACACCTCTGCGATAAACAGAGCTGGATGATAGAGCCTCCTGAAGTTCCCATGTCTCCTCCTAAACTGGCTACATTTGGGTAAAAATGGGGTACGTAATTTTCCCCGCATTAACAGCTCATGTTGGTTGTGCCAACAGTAAAATGCTGTAAACAAACAGATTTAATAACAGCCATTGGCTAACATTATGCATTTCAGACTTTTTTTAAATGTCCCTCATCCCTGTAACAAACATTAGTTTTGGTCTTTGCCCTCACTGTAGTGACAGGTTTGTTACTCTCTTGTAACGTAGACTATTGCACTTTATTTTAATTGAAACTGCATACATCCTCTACAGTGTATGCTTCTGCAAAACGTATCAATAAACATAAAAAAACAAAAAAAACCAAACCGGGCCGGGCCGTTGAGGCAAAAATCCCGGGGTCATTTTTTGGTCCCAGTCCAGCCCTGGTATGGCCTGGTAAGGCCTGCCGGCGGAAATGTTTTAGGCTGGAAAAATGTGCTCTAAAAAACAATACAATGAATTCATATATTTTAGTCCATTTTAAATTGTATCGGCCATAATATTAATGCGTTGGAAATGAGACTTGGACTTGCGGGTCCAGGGACTTGGACTTGACTTGGACTCCTGGGCTAGGGACTTGGACTTGAATTGCAGGTCAGAGACTTGTGTGTCTCTGCTACATGTCTACGCAACATAATAATCTCACTTTAAGATGCAGTCACTTGTTTTCACAAGTATGGCCTTTAAAGTGGGGTAAAAAAGGTGCTATGTGAATTGGGTGCAGCTCTTGGATCCATTGTTTTTTCCAAATGGATGGATAAAACAAAAAGACATTTTTGGTTGGAACAAATACCAAAGTTAAGTTCAGTTATATGAGTAACTGAACTTAAGTAAGTTACTTACTTCCCCAAAGGGGTATGTCCTTGCTTTCTGCCTTCATGACAATAGATGACATTGTCATTGTGACCGGAATGGCATCAAAATATGAAGAGTGGGGAGCCAAGGTCAGGATCGGTGCTTCAGCAGGCAATGCTCTTTGACCTTTTACAGAGATCCAATGGAACCCTCCTGAAAACCACATGACCCGCATGATGATCTTCAGAATGATATCCACAAGCCTATAAACAAAACAAAACCAAACATGATAAATAGTTCTACAAGACAATAGATCAAAATAACCATTCACTGACCAACGCCAAAAGCTTTGAGGTGTTATATCATCTTCAGCGTGTCCAACTGTGGCCAAAAAGGCAAAAGGCCAGGCCAGCAGCATCATGGACGCAGCCACGAGCAGCCGCACAGGAAACAGCGTGACTGTCATTAGTGCAATCTGCAAAAGAGGCACGGGATGCATAATTACATTTATTAAAACCACTCAATTACACAACATTCAGGACAGCGCACGGATATGCCCAGGCAGTTTTCAGCACATGAAATATATACGTTGTCTGATAAAGGGAAAGAAACAGTATGATAGTATGACATGCAACACTGTGGTGCTGCTCTGCAGTTTGCGACAGCAGCAACTGTTTATCTTCAGCTTTTTATGGCTCCATAATAGCAGCACTTATCTTGTGTCAATATTAGACTTGATAACGTAAACTACTGGGAGCAAAGCCCTATCTAATCTGAAATCGTGTCTTTGGACAATAAAAACATACTAGACATTAAATAATATATAAAACTACATGTCTGCAGTACTTTAACATATGTATGCCCTTCTCAACCATGAGCAGGGATGAAAGCAAAGTACAAACTAACCAATGTGGCTTCCCCATCTTCCATCTCATTGACCCCTCTAACCACACGTGAGAACTACAAGCTGAAAGGAATTGTCCAAAAACATGGCAATAAAGGGTGACGCCCACCCTGAATTTCACAGAGTGAAAGGTGTCTCAGGTGTCATAATAAAACCAATATTTACATACAGTTCATAATTAACGTTTTCACGATACCCGGTTGTTTACTTACAGTGGGATAGGCCCTCAGCATCCAGTCCGCTGAGGCATTAATGCTTCATGCAATATTGGTTGTTAATGGTCAATTTAATAGGCCAACCAGTGGGATTTAAAGTTAAAATTTGTACATAGGTCAAATTAAACGGAAAGACAATTCTTGTGCAGAAACTACAGTAGACGCAACATGTATGTGGCTAACAGCTATTGGCTAACAGCTCAGATGACAGAAGGTAATCATCAAGGTAATTGGCCTCATGTCATGATGCCACTTCAACAAACCCAGGGCAGCAGTCGGGTGTTAAAAAACTGAAAGGCTGCTACACCAATTACCTTCACTTTTTCCATTGGGGTGTATTTCAAGATATGCACAAATGGATTTCTTGTCGGAGGAGCTTGGTCCATCTTCTTTCCGTCTCCTTCCATGTTACGCTTATTTGGCAACCTCATGTTTCTTGAATTTGTTTTGGGAGAGTATACAACAATTATACTTTTTCTAACCAAAATAACATATAACTCTAACCCAAGACACCAAAGGCTCTTCACTTCACGCCCGACGCAGTTTACTCTGATGCACGATGGCTAATTTAAGAGGCAGTGTATGCTATTAGCGTTATCTTCCTTTGCGGGACAGCATGGAGGGATAATGGTCGGTCAGGGATTAGCTGGGGATATTCAAGTCGCCAAAATCTTGCAGCCTACTGTGCGTACGACGCCTTCTTTAGCCCCGTGTTTTCCATCCGCTCACTTAGCTTTAGCTTCAGATGCTAGCTGAGCGTCGACTCCTCTCCAAGCTGAGTACGCATGCGCGGCAGTGAGACGCTGTTAAAGAAAAAATATATTTTCTGTTTGATTAATTTATTTTTTCCCACCATTGCTTTGTGAAAGATATACAATCAAAGAATAGTGTAAATTTGAATAATTATCACTTTTTCTGTTGTATTATGCATATCCAGCAGAGGGTGCTAGTGTTCCATAGTTGTAAGCAAAGAAGCATCGAGCTTGTCCTGAGGAGATGTCCATGGATGTCCATGGATGTTAATATATCCAGTCCATGGTTATGTCTCAAAACCTCTATAACGTCAACAGTAAGTTATCGTTGGTCTCCCTTCTTCTGCAGTCTACGAGTTTTCCACGGGTCATAAACCGCTACATTGGTAGTCAGTTTGGCTTGACCTACTCCTCCATCAATTTGTTTTCACTCAATTACTCCTTTCTTTGACATGCCTATCCTAAAATGAAATAAGTTATCAATAACAAAATAACTCAATGGAACGCTGTGCTTTTTAATATATGCAATCTGAATACACTGTACACTGTAGTCTGCACATGGCTCTGAAGCCTGGCCAATTGAGTCCAAAATGCTGCTCTCTAGTGGTACAGTCCCCACCTTGCACCTTGCACCTTCCACCTTGTCTTATGTCGTATTTATCAATCACAGAAATTAACAAATCATGGAATATAGAACCACATAACATTGTATTTGTTGTAATGCACTTTTATAATGCATCACACATTACTAATGATATTAAGATACAAAAAAGGACAAGAAAAATATATCTTGGTTATCACATCAACGAATACAAGTCACATATTGGTACGAAGAGGAAGTCCCACGTCTGGAGTTTGTATGAATGTAAATGTACTGTATTAAAAAACAGACTCTCCTAAAATTAATCAAAATGACAGAGCTTAATAAGAAGTATTATAGAAAGTTTTGTTGGTATATTTCCTGAAAAGACCTTTCAGTTAACCCAGAAGGTTTTAATTTTGGTTTTAGGCCTTTCCATACAAAGTTGTTCTGAGGAGAATAAAATGTTATTGTGTGTTCAATGTAATGTACATGATACTAAATATTAAATGTGTTTCCTATTCTAACCAAGGCAATTACTTATGAATTCTGTTTCTGTACAATAAACTGCAATTGAACAAAATAACCATCATACTTCTCATGTGGCTATAAGGTACAAATGTCAGTTATCTTTCTCAAATTAGTGATCTAGTTTTTCAATACTTTTGACATGCCTAAATACTTCTTCATATTGTGTATCAGCAGTTGAAAGCCAACATATTTGATACAATTAGTTTTATAAAAGGTAAATGATTGAAATGTGGCCATGTATTCGTTAAGTGTGCAGCTAAATGATTTTCATTAGGTCGAGTGACTTAAGTTACAGAACACTTCACACATCACATTGATGATTTTTAATTCAATTACTTCTGTTTTTTCAGCAGCAGAACTATCCTTTTTTGTCACACACTAGTTATATGAACTATTATGATCATCTTTGTTTCCTAAAATCATTCTAAATTAGAAATATAAAACAAATCATAGTATGCATGTAACTTGAGTTATTTTGAATGTATCTCGTAATATATCACTAATTTTCACTTTTTAATGCATTACACTAATTACTTAAGAAATTCTATATGAGTGTAATATATTTACAAATTAACAAGTTACTAGAGGATGTCATTTTTGGTATAAAACTATTACAACTGATTGTGTTTCACATTTCTCCCGGTCCTCTTATAATCATGTAGTGTTTCTCCAGTTTGTGTAACCCCTACACCCCCATACACATATATTTACAGTGTTCATGTTTTAATTCACCCACATGCGTTCCTTGTGCCTTATACTGGCCATATGGGGTCATGACATTTGCATTTGACAGGAACCACCACACACAGGGTTAATAGGCCGACTGAAAAGAGAGGGATTGAAAGAGCTGGATAAGTTCACCTCCTCCTCATTTTCCCCCTCAAATCCCATCGCCGAGCAGCTTAAATTAAAAAGGAAGAAATGCAATTTAAAGACATGGGGTAAACAATCACAAAACACTTGTTCCAGAAGGAGACACAATTTCCTGGTGCCTTGTCCAATTTCTTATGGCCTGAAGGGCTGCCGCATGCGTTTTAACACCTGGTTCTACAACACTGATTAAAATTGTAATGTTGCTGTTGAATCAATCCATATGACATTTTGGAAATACACAAGCACAGAGACATTTTATATTATACAACTTACTGTTGTTTTCATCTGGGAAGGGAAAGGTGTAAGGTGGGGGTTTGTGTGTCAGTGTTATGCCTTCAAACTGTTTAAGAGTACATTTCATTATAGCAGTATTTTTTTATTGAGCCTTTGATTATATTCAAATTTGTTTGCACATACCATTATACTTTTATACTATTGTTATACTAATTAGACAATATTTAAGATAATGATTTATTGCTTTTTTTTCAGTGGATGCAAGAGGCTGAAGGCAACTCATTGCTTTTACTAGTTCTAGTTACTTGTCAAAGCATTTAAGTTAGATTTTGAGACATTTGTATTTAAGTTCATCCCATTTTGCAGGTTAGATAGAACCAGTTTTGTTATCAATAAATATTTCACAGAGGAAGTGGACAGGAAAGCGAATGTCCAGATTTGTGTTCACTATTACAGCAGTGCAGCCCTGAGGCCAAACATCTGAGGCTCGTGACAGATGGACACCACACTAATGTTTTACCAGCCCCTGCGTCCATGTCAATCAATGGGCAGCTTGTTCCCAAACACAATATTCAACACTGCACTTATAACACTTCTCAAGCTCAAGGAAATGGATTGTTGACAAGATTGGCAGGATTTTCTCAGAATCTGTCCATTACTCCGGCTCTTTTTGTTTTTCCTGGTTGACCATTGCATTTGTTGTTGTGTGCAAAGGGTTTGAAATAGGTTTTGTAATGTATTATCAGAAAAAATGGAAAACAAAGAAAAACAGGTCAAGAGCTATTCTCAAACCCTCAAAAAATGAAACCAATATAATTATGGTATTGTAGAGCTGAGCGATATTCAAAATAGAGAGCAACTTCTTTGAATTTTTTGAAACCGATAAACCTTTTTTTCATTGAAAGCAACCAAAAGTAAATAGTTCTTTTACAACTTAGGGGCTGTAAAACAGAATCACCAACTGTATTCAGAGCTTTGAAATGAGTTATGACATTAAGCTTTACTTGAAGGTGATAAAGTTGCCAGAATGATTGCTTATTTGTGTAGATTGTTGCAGGTTGTGAGATTTGAAATGAGGTATAACAAGTTTATATTGGCACGGCATAATGTTTATAATTTAAAACATCCTGGAAATATTGATGTATTTGACTTACCAACGATCTAATCAATGTGTTGCTCAGGCCTTAATTATAAGATATCCTAAAATCACCAGAACCTTCATGTGTGCGCGGAGTATGCATGTACCACAGTTTGAGAACCACTTGTTTACACTGTCCTCTTTGTGGATTTGATTTTTCTTTTTTTCTTTTATGCCACCCAAATCTGCACGTTTCATGATATTGTGATGAGTGCATGTTAAAGAGGGAAAGCCTGGGAAGCTGGTCACACTGTCATCTTTTGAAAGCACAATTTTGACACAACAGTTGTTTGAAATCAGAGAGTGGAGCTGGCAACACTACTGAGCATCTTCTCTGTGTTCTCTGTCTCATGTCCTTTCTTCCTGTCTGGCCTCTGCAGGTGCCGCGCTATCACACCGCTAACACAGCAATCCCTGATCCATGTACATCCACGGGCCTTTGAAAGAGGAAGCTGCAGTTGGAAAGCACCGCTCTTCATGGTCTCTGTTCTCTGGGCAGATGAAGAGGGCTCCAGCAGCACAAGCCGAGTGTGAAACCAAAGCCACATGTTGGGCAGGACGGACAGTTGTAAGACAAGTAAGATCTTTGTGGGGAACACAAGTGCTTGGCTGTCCTTTAGCGTGCCTGTCTCTCAGCGCGGCTTTGCTGCCTGGACACCTGTACAATTGTAATTTAACACAAGCAAAAACAACAGCAGGCCATGCCCAAGACAGTGCAGTCACTTGTTCGAATATTGTGGGATAAAGTCATGAAATGTGCAGCTTTGCCTTTCATAATTTAGTACTATAATTATAAATATAGTACAGTTTATGCAGGCGTTTACTTACAATGTGAAACTGTTATATGAGACTCATGCAAAGTGAGCTATATCAGGAAAACATTTGTTATATGTTGTGAATAGTCTTACAACTCAAATCTCAGGAAAATAGAATATTTTTAAAACGGAAAGTAATCCATTATAAAAAAAATTATGACAAACATAACAAAGACTTGGCATTATGTCTCTTTGCATTTACGAGTCTATATCATTTATTGGTTTCACATTTTATGTTGAATTACAGAAATGAATTTGAACAATATTTTGATTAATATGATGTTACATTGCGGTTTGACACATTTTACACACACTTTAAATTATCAACATTTAGGCCGTATTAACTTTCATCATTATGTCAAAGGAACAAGTAAGAATACGATGGTCTAATATGACTTTTGGTACCAGAAGATTTTCTACTCTTTCTTACCCTGGCTCAGAATAACAAAAAATAATACACATACACCATTTTCGTTTTACAAAA